TAACTGTTGGGGGTATCACCTCCAGCATCTGCAAGGATACACTATCCTGTATACAGGGTGTTTCTAAAATAGGGTTCCAAACTTCTGCTGCATTTATAACTCATTAAAATAAGCCAAAAGGTGATTATTAACATGTGCCCTAAAACGCACCCTTAGGAAGTTATATGCCCTTAAAAGGGCTCAAACAAAACTGTTTTTTTTCTGTTATTGACAAAACAGTCTCCGTTTTCGACATGCAAATCATATGTGTCCCATTTAGGTTGGTGAAGGGGGTTTTCGGCCCGTAATTTTTTTTATTTCAATTTTTTTACAATTTTCTCTACAGATTTATAAAATCTTAACAATTTTACGTAAAAAATATTATCTTTGTCCAAATCGATATTTCCAATGGTTTTCGAGTAAATTGAGTTTGAAAATTACTCTGCTCTTTAAGTTATTAGGCCAAAAATTACAAAAATCTGTTTACCATGGCAAATAAAAGACTGACGTTGCCACAACGCTTAACAATTTAAGTTATTGATAAACTGTCAATTGAGCTTTGCAGTGTTTAATTAGTAAAAGTGGTGAGTGGAAAATTTAAGTATACAACATTATTGCAACTCATAAAATGGAGTCATATTCAAACACGGAAATGGCAGATATGCACTTTATGTACGGCCGTGCGGCTGGAAATGCATCAGAAGCGAGGCGTCTGTATGCGGCAGCATACCCGAATAGAAGACTTCCTTCTCGACAGGTATTTCAGAGGATCCATCAACGTTTAAGAGAAAATGGTTCGTTCCAACCAAGAGTAAATGATCGTGGCAGAGACAGATTTGTAAGAACACCGGTGATGGAAGAAAATGTATTGAGAGCTGTGCAGGACAATCCAAGGGTTAGTGTAAGAAGTGTCGCACGTATGCATAACATAAGTTTTTCCGTAGTTTGGCGAATTCTTTGCGAACAACTACTTCATCCTTTTCATATCCAGCGTGTTCAAGCTTTAAATCCGAATGACTACGAACCACGTCGGCAGTTCTGCCAATGGTTTTTGCGAAAATCGAGGCGGATTCCGAATTTTGCATCTCTTATTTTGTTTACGGATGAGGCAAGCTTCAGTAAAGATGGTTATGTCAATTTTCATAACGCTCATGAATGGGCTGATGAAAACCCACACAGCATATTTCAGTCCAGACATCAGATTCGGTTTTCCGTCAACGTTTGGGCAGGCATTTTAGGCGATCGGCTAATCGGACCGTTTGTGTTGCCTAATCGATTGAATGGTGAGGATTATTACAATTTTTTAGTTAACGACTTGCCAGGACTTTTGGAAGATGTCCCTTTTATTGAACGCCAAAGCATATGGTTTATGCAGGACGGGGCGCCACCTCATTACCTACATAATGTAAGACAACACTTAAATGAGTTGTATGGAGACATATGGATAGGCCGAGGAGGTCCTGTTCCCTGGCCTCCACGTTCCCCTGACCTTAACCCCTGGTTTATTTTTGTGGGGTCAACTTAAGGCAAAGATTTATAAAATTCCAATTGAGACCATTCAGCAACTACGGGAGGAAATTGAAACCGCGTGCATGGAAATAAGGCAAACACCTAGAATTTTCCAAAGAGTTCGCAATTCATTTTATAAAAAGAGGATCTTTGTTGTTTTTTGGTCAGTTGCAAATTTCTCTTGCTTCGATATTCTGAGGTAGAAACGCCTGTACTCTTTGCACGTGATACTGGTATAACAAATCGTTCTCTAAGGTCTTCAAGCACATCAGAATCATTAATATCGTCGCCTTCGTTATGCTTCATTTATTTGGCTATTATTCTGTCACTACTTTTTAACCATTTGCATTTCCTTATTAATCGCTTTCAAAATCTTAACTTTAACACCCTGTATCTCGAAATCGATTAAAATAACCATATATCATTTAAAATACGGTGCCTTTCAGTCGTAGACGTGTGCAGATGCAACTCACTATGATATTAAAGAATGGACTTATTAATAAAAAATGTTTTTATAATCTTAATCGTAACATACTGTATCTCGAAATGAAGGCGCTCAAATTAGGAATGGCAAGTTCTATTAATTTCGCTCAAGTAATCTGCGATTATCGGCTTGATCTACTAATTTGCAACACCCTGTGTGTATTATCAAAAAATGAGATCAGTTTTATTTAATTATTACATTGAAGATGGAAATAAATATGCAAATGAAACATTTTTGTTGCAGTACCAAATAAGCGTTAGAAAATCTAACACACGTATCCGGGATGTGAGCGATTTGTAAAGAAAAATCCCGAACATCACTGTAATTACTAACTGTGTAACTGTTACAAGTATAATTAAAGGAAGAGAAAGGTGTCTGTAATAATATTCTCACTATATAGTTGAAGTTATAGATTCTTTGATTGACGAATGTTGTGTAAAATTTGTATTTAATTTAGTATAAGTTTATGGTCTCATAAATAATTTATAACTTATTAAATAATTATTACAATATAATTTTATAGAAATAAATAGGTAGTGGTATTATTTTATCTTAAAGGACTAACTTTTTGTATAAATTAAATAATTTCGAAGAAATGTCTTCAATTTGGTTCATATTTAAAATATTTAAAAAACTTTACAGAAATACAGAAAAGATTAAGTGCCACAATTGATTTAATACGAAGTAAACTTACCTAATAAGAAAGTACGCCACTTTAGTATCTACCCGGTATGCGTATCAGAAGGTTAAATCGCTAGAATTTATAATAATAACCTGGACACCCAGTCCATCCCAGAGAAGGAAATTGTGCTGACAGCACTGTTTGACCTCGAAGGAGCGTTCAATGGAGCACTACCAGACTTCCTGTATATAACAAGCAGTATAGTATCGGAAAATGTAACCACAACGCCAAGTCTGCAGAAGGAAAACGTCAGTATCAGGTCTGCAAAGATGTCTCTACTCTCATCGTTGTTTTGGTTACTACTTGTGTCCTGTGGATGACCTGGTGGATACTTAAGGAAATGTTAAATGGGGTGCTCATTTGATGTGAAAGAGATAACTTACTGTGAACGTGTATGTGAACTCCTAAAAATAATTACAAGAAAAAGAAAATTGTCATTTTGAGACCACCTAATATGTTGGGTAAGACAATACCACTTGTGGATGATGCGAAGAATTTAGACATTGTCATAGATAAGATACTGAACCAGAACTTCCATCTGCAGAAAGTCCACAAAGCAAGAATGCTGACGTATCTGTTGAAAATTCTGGAACGTAGGTCTTTACTGGCTTTACGTGATAGTCATCAGTCCTATGATCGCGTACGGCTCGATAGTTTGGCGGTCTAAATGTCTTCAAGGGACAACCAAAACCAAATTCTCTGGTTCATAGAGATAAGTGTGTCTGGTGACAACTGGAATAATAATAATAATAATAATAATAATAAGCTTCACACAGTTAACTATTTTGGAAATTCTTTTTGAGAAGTTAGATAGACAGTACACAGATTGAGGCAAGATACTATTAATATACCGAAGGGCACAACAGACTTCTATAGGATATAGAAAACCACAGCATTCTGTAAATTAGACATTATGATGTCAACACGACTTAATTAATTGCCTTTCAGCATTCTCTTTCCTGATAGAAATGATTGGGATCATAATTGACTCCTAGCCCAAGGGTGTAGGAGTCAGATTGCAATCCAAGAACCAGGCCGTTGGTAAAATTTAGTATTTATGCTACTGTGTTCAGATAATGGTCGGACTAGTTCGATCAAACTTCTTTAGTCAAACAATTCGCTGAACTATGCCCAATATTTCCTCAATATCAGCTAATTGGTCTGACCAACGAAATATTTGTCCGCTGAACGACTTTGACCGATCCGACCATTCGCTGAACACAGCCATAGTAATAATAATGTGTTAAAAGCTTTTGGGAATATTTGTTTTATTAAAAAAAACATGAGAAAATGGCAGCTATACAAATTTTTCTTTCCCAGGCGGATTTTTTAAAGGTGTTTAAAATTGGATAGATACCTATATGATATAATGTTGAGATATAATCTATAAAGTATATGTCACGTGTCATCTCTTTAAACGTCATTGCTACTGGGTATATGTTCCGGCTGGCACCGAATTATACCCCCAAATCTACTAAATAGCCAAGATCGTTTACAGCGAAGTCATCAGCGATCGGCCTGTGAACTTATTAGTACTCGTCAGTATGCATAGGTGAGACGACCGGCGAAGTGATTTAGTTATTTGAATATCTCTCTACAGACATGTTTTGAGTATGGGTGAGATCTAACCTATAAAGCATAGGTCATATCTTTAAACGTCTGTGCTACTTTTTGCCTACTACTTAGTCATAGGCACCAAAGCATTGCTTTGTACCTACTGACACAGAGTGACCTACTAATCTTTGGTATAATTAGTATCGCACTAAGCGGAATAAACGTACGTTTTAGATATAATGGGAAACAACTCTTCCAAAAATAAAGAAACCAGATTTAAAAAAACTGTCGCAAAAAACACTGTTTAATCTGCAAAATTAGTCAGAAAAGTTGCCAGTTACCTTCAAGGTTTCCTTAAGGGTATTTAAATCGACTATGTTATATTTTATTTACCTAATTGACCATAGAGAAAAGCTGAGATTCACTAAGTCCTTGGTAAATCAAACATAACTTTAGTACTAAATGTACTCATTAATGAAACTTTAAGGACTGTATGTCGACTATATATAAATTCCATTCTTAATGTTTCATTTTTTCAAATCAGGCAAAACAGTATTGAATTAATAAGACTATGTACCAGAATAAAAGTAACTTTAAAAAATTACAACAGAGACAGTTGTATGTTATTAGTCTATTTAGATACATAGGAATTCGCTTGGTGTCTTCTTTCACTTCCATTCACTTCCAATATTTTTCCTTATATTTTTTGTTTTATCTGAAATTTTGTCTTAATAAAAAATCAGTTTAATATCATTTTCCATTTTGTTTCAGTTACAACAGTGACTTTGGTTCTAATTCTAACCAGCGCAAATGCACAACTTATGCAGGTATGTTACATACATTTTTTTATTTTTAAAATTCGTTATAACGAGACCCTTAACACATTATATAAGGGCTAATATATTTGAGAACTATACCTAAATGTTTTACCTACCTCTCTAATAGGTCCCATACATTTCTAGAATTGTTTCGAGCAAAACTATTGCAAAACTGAGGTGAAAACTACAGGGCAAACAAGTCAGTTTTCGCCCTTACACCTCTGTTTTGCAACACTTTATCCGACGAGTGAAATCATCGAGGATGACTGAAATAGATGAGGATCTTATATGTATACAGGGTCGGAAAGTCCCCATGGTTCATCGGCCGTTACGTGAGAGCGATAAAGTAATAAGTCATAGAAATCCGTGCGATACAGAAAGATGGCTATAATGAGGGCGTCTAAAAGTCACCGCCCATTTCGCCCTTCCACAAATAAGAAGTGGATCTTATTTGTGGAAGGGCGAAATGGGCGGTGACTATTAGACGCCTTTATTATATCCATCTTTCTCTATCGCACGGATTTCTATGGCTTTCTTTATCGCTCTCACGTAACGGCCGATGAACCATGGGGACTTTCCGACCCTGTACATAGTCTTATCATTATATTTGTATCTTTTTGCTGATACATGAAGTTTACAATTTAAATGAATAATGAAACTTTAAAAAGCAGTTAAATAACATCTAAGGTATTTAAAGTGATTGTTTTTCACTGGGAAACTCTATTAATACACAGAAATAAATTTGAAGAAGCATAATTAGCAATTAGAAAAACTTAAACTGTCTATTTAGTTTAAAATTTAAAAATATCTATGTTTTAGGTAAAATTTATTAAGAATGTTACTATGCTTTTGTTATTTAGTGATATTTTAAAGCTGACCTTGGATTTTATCGGGGTTTTACGCTAAGAAAATTTTATAATAGACAAGATTTTAGGAGATAAATTGGTGAACGGAACGCAAACGCGATTTTATCAAAATTACCTAACAAAATTTACCTTGCCCAAAAAATTATATCCTTTGGAAAGAAAAATGATTTCCGCCAAATATTTATGTCTAATAAATTATATGTACCAACAAAAAAAAATAAAATCATTATTTATACAGAGTACTCCGTATTTATGTCTCAAAGCAAACTACGGAAGAAAACTATGAATATTCTGTTATTAAAAGTTTGGTTGGTTGGGCCTATTTGCGAAAGTGTGGCCCTGTAAAGTTCTACAATAAAATTTGAATTTTTTTAATAATTTAATTTTTAATAAACGGTTTAAATAAAAGCTTGAAACTGGGGATGTTGTACAAGTCGTTTCGGAACATTACTGATGTTACCAAAAAAATAAAATATGTAAGCAGTGGCGTAGATATGGAAGCACCGGTGACAAGTTTTATAAATAAAAAATTATAAATCCGAGTTTTTTTAATCATCTTGTACGATTGTTCGAAATAACAGTTTTTTATTCGGGATTAAACTTTCTTGCAAATTGTTAGTTTAAGGTATAGTTTTCAAGATAATTGCAATTTTCGATATACAGGGTGATTCAGTCATAATGTCATTAATTTTAAGAGCAGATAGAGAAAAATGAGTATAATACGATGGTGTGATTAAAAAAAATTAAATGCATATTTAAGCTGAAAAAAAATATTTCAAATCATTTATTTAACCCCCTTTTCAGGCTGTTACTGATCGGCTGACGTCAGCCGGCTACGATATGAACAAAGTGACCTAGATGCAATGTTGCCATATTTATATATTTTCGCACATATAAAGACAATAAATAAACGGTTTGCTCACGTCAGTCAATAATAATTTAAAATGCTATAAATTATTTTTTTATAATTATGCAATCAACATATTAAATTGTTATTGTTGCCCAGCAAGAACCTCGAGGAGGTCTGAGCATGACTTGCCAAAAATCATTTTTTATTAACATCGTAATGTTAATTTTTTAATTTGCTGTAAGCCTTCTACTAAAAATTGAAAGTAACGTGGCCCATTCAGATGTACAGGTAGAAAATGCGGCCCAAATAAACGATTGTCATATACTCCTGTCCATACATCGACACCCAACCGCCTCTGAAAGCTAAACCGACGAGTAGTGTGCGGGTTTTCATGTGACCAAATGTGACTATTATGGCTGCAAAGAAATTAGCTCTGTTTCACTTTAAATAAAATTTAATATTGAAGTTACAAAACTCCAATAGTTCAAGTAATTTAAATTTCATTTCACAACCATTTCAATTTTATTACAAAAATAATGACATAAAAAACCAATACTCACTAGATAAATTATAAAGAGAGGGTGAAATGTATGTAGTATTTAAATATTGACTGTAAGTAATAGAAGATAAAAATACAATCGGACGGAGACAAATAAACAACTCGGTACGTATTTCCGACCTAGGTCAACCTGTGTCGAGTTCAATAACCTTCTAATTTGCACGTGTGCACTTTAGTAGGATCGTATTCCATGCAAAGTAGAGCAAAAAGATGTCAGTCTTTTATCAAAGAAAAATCGTGTCATCAATGAATAGGGATGATTGTTTTCGAATGTACGGTTATTACAATTTATCATTTTTAATATTATTAACGTTTTCACGTTTTATAATTTATTATGTTAAATAAAACACAGTTTTAGTATTTCAGTTTATTATTCAATATGCAGTTGCGTATAACCAAAGTTTACATAATAAATGTAAACTTTAGTGTAAATCTAAACTTTGGTGTAACCTAGGTAGGCACTTATTGTTTTTGAGAAAGCAATACTTATGTTTTTTACCTGTTTAAAATGCCAGCACGAGTAAAACAGCATTCATCCGTCCAGAGCACTTTGTTAATAAAGTTCTGCTGCACTTAGGAACCAATTGCAAAATTCAAGACGATTGGGGAAATCAGCTGCTTCTAAAGCTTGAATTTTTTGAAAATGTGTAATGTTAACTCTTTTGCGGGAAAAATGCGGGAGATATGGAGGGTGGTAGATTTGAATAAACGCTTTAAATTGTTAGGTAATGGTTTTGTAACCGTGTGTAAGTGTATTTTGTATATTCGGGTATTTAGTGTGCCGACTTTTTTTATTTGATAAAATACAGTGTGCCTACAAACCTCTGCTTTATTTATTTTCTTTTAACGAAAGTTGACTTCGAGAAGTCAGGCTTGTTAAAACATTTTGCACTAAATACAATTATTAAAATTAGTTATAATAAAATGCAGCATGATCCTTTATTTACTTGCATTTTATTGGTTTCATACATATGTATCCGTATTCTATTAAATGTGAACACAGATTATGATGTGAACTTGGCAACGCTGTTCGCTTCAGCTGACGATTTGTTCATGACATTACGTTACAAAATTTTCCGAGCATCCGGGCATCTGGCAGGTCCACCTTCTTAGCGGGAGTTATGGGTTGATTTCCTTCATTTTCAAAAGTCGAGTAAAAAATTTTTTTTCCGATTTTCTGTCTTCATTAAGTCTTCCGAATACATGATTAAAATTAATGACATTATGACTGAATCACCCTGTATATGAAGTAAAAATCAAGACAGTAATGCACAAATTAATTAATAGACTTTGAATATTGAATGACAAGTTGTTTCAGCTAAAGGAAAAGTAAGCTATTGTTATAAACTTTATGTTCCAAACACAAATTGCATAAAGGTTAAATCACCGAAAATATAATTATTCGCGTTTTTGACCTAGGTTTAAAATAAAAACTCTATAAAGTTTATGCTATCACTAACAAGTGATTTCAAATATGAAATAATTTCTCATCGAATAGTCGGTCTAAATTTGTACACTTTTTAGTGCAGATATATCGAAAATTATATTTACAATATACAGGGTGTCCCGCATGAGAACCGACACAGGGCATGTAAGGGGTGTGCAAAATATTGTAATTTAACCAAACTTACCTATATACAAAGTTGCAGCCCTGAGGAGTTATTAGCCTCCAAAGGAGGAGAGAAATGAAGTAAAATTTACTGACTTTTTGATTATTTTCTAATAAACAGTATTATAATCTTGTGTCAGTTAATACGGTTTTTCTTGAAAACCATAAAGTTTTTTAAAATTTAACAAGAGAAAAAAAAATTCTAAATTAAATTCTGCTGCTACTAAAAAGAAAGTACTATTCTCATAAGAGAGCCACTGATAATATTTTTTTTTTTATTCGACTTGGACTACATACCTTCATAATTCAACTTTTTATTTCAATTTCAAACTATTTCAGAAATTTTAGAATCTATTTTAGAATTTTATAGGGCCGTACTTAGGAAAATGGATCCAATTTGAATAAAAATTTTCATAATTTGCAATGCTTATATATTACCACCATATGCTTTGCGACATATAGTTAGGGCTGTACTTATATAGTTTTTTTAAATATAATTTTCTAATAAGGTGACCTTTTCCACAAAACTTACCAAACATATTTTACCTCGTTTGTTTTTCAGTTACCTAGTATTACCTTTAGTATTAACCACTACTTATGCAGTTTCAAGTTATTGTTGCTTTTGCAGGATGCAATATCTATGTCAGCTGATGGTTGGAGGCCAATAATTGGAACAAGGAGACAGCCACCCGGTTTCCCAACGGAAATAAAACCTCAGGAAATTACTGAATACAAAAACCCTAGTGAAACCGTAAATGTTGACATCGTAAAGGCTGAAACAATAGAACCATCTAGCACAAATGCACCCCAAAAACTATCGACTAGTATAAAACCTCCTGACTCTACCAGTAACAATATCAACGGAGGCGGTGCTTATATGCAAGGTAAATAAGTAGAATTTGTAATAGTCAATCATAGATTTTATTATTTATTACAATTAAAACACATCGAACATCTTAATCTAGGTTATAGATGGGTACCTCACATTCAATTTTAGTTTTTCAATTTAAAATTAACTTTTAGAAGAACTTCAAGTTAAAATGTATCAATAAAACTTTATTTAAATATTATTCAATTGATTTCTACCACTTTAAGTTTAATTTTGGGTTTTGAGGAAATCTGTTAGGTTTTTACATGACTTTATATTTTCAGGTGAAAAAATACCTCCTCACTCAAAATTCACTTCTCCCGGTCCATATCATACACTCCCGGCAAGTGTCCATGGACCTCCAATACCAATTAGTGGAAGTCTTAACAAACCCGTTAAATTTGGTCAAATCAAAAAACGTCCTGCAAATAAACCATCCACTCCTTCCTATTTTGGCCCTAAAAGGAAACCAATAAGAGGCCAAATGGTTGCTCACAGTACCCGCAATGAGGTATTTGTTAGACCACCAGGTAAGTTAATATATCACTTTTAAAAATACCTAGATGATTTTGCAATACTTTTTCAGCTTCTTTTCCATTCATTAAACAAGGGCAAACCAACATAAAAACGAGAGAAACACAAGGATTAGGACTACTGGGCTCCAATCATTTTGTAGTAAACCAGCCTAGTTATATAGAATTTGCAAACAGATTTGCTCTACCTCCAACTGAAGACAATTTCCAAGTTAAAAATCACCCCATTACATATATATTTTCTAAACCCGGGAATGATCAGTATCAATTCACAAGCCAAAATGATGAGTACACCAGAAATTTAGTTCCTCCTCCACCACTAGCAATTTTTCAACAAGATGCTAACAAATTAAAACCAATAAAAGTAAATACAAACATTAATAATGAAAATGTAATAGCGAGCACTGAACCAATAATAAAATTAAGTGATTTTGGAAGTAACATACAGTTTGGCAGGAAACCGGTAGAAATACAAGAAAACCTAGTACCACAGTTGCCACCACCATTTGAACAAAACTTTGCTTTCCAAAAGCAATTTAATAAACCTAAAGAACAAACAGTAGACGTTCAAGTTACAAAAGAAAAATTTAAAGTTTTTCACAGCAATCAACCAGTAAATTATAATACAAACGCACCAGATTACATCGATTATGACTTTCATTCATTAAAAAAACCAGTGCAATATCCGAAATTGCAAACTTATGAAGTTACAGAAGGAAAATGGGTAGATAATCCTAACCCATTCACTTTTACTATTACAAAATCTCAGCCGATAGTGGCACAACCGTTAAGACAATTATCGACAGCAGTACCTCAACTAGTAACGGAACCCATAGTGGAGCTAAATGTGCCTCCATTTTTACCAACTCCTTATAAACCGCAAGGTGCAGTACCTACTTCTCCCACACAGGGCGAAGTATCCACGATCTTCTCACAAGTTAGCACAAAAATGAACAGATATAAGAACGAAGCTCTTACAACAAATCCATTTTTCTTTGATGTAAAAGAGGTTTCCACTCATTATCCCATACTGGGAAAACCGGAACTCAAGCCAGAATCTCCAACAAACAATCCTCTGCCAATGGATTCAAATGGTGAAATATCAAATGAAATTACCACCATGACACCTATGACAAAACCACCACAACAAAACAAATCTAGACGTAGGAGACCTAGACCTAGAAGGCCCTCAACTACTACTACTACTACAACTACAGAAGAACCAGTACCGACTGAGAATTATAACCTACAGAAGATTGAAGAGCTCTTTGAAGGTGTATCAATCGAAACTGAAAAACCACAAATAAGAAGGAGACCAAGGCCTAATCGCTATAGAACCAACAATATAGAAGATCGTCCTACTAGATATAGAACTACTACACCTCCCAGTGAAACCGAAGAGAGTAATGAAAAGCAAATTAGAACAAGAAATCGTTCTAGAAACAGAGGTGGGTAAAATAATCAAATAAAACTAACGATAAGATAGATTCAAATGAATATTAAATGTTTGAAAAGGGCCAAATTTTATTTCTATAGAAAAAATTATAGGACACTGCAGTAGCTCAGTTTGCACAGTCTAGTCTCTCGACCTGAACCCGGGTTCGAATTGTTGAATGACGACTTTTTTTGTTTCAAAAATGTTAATATTTTCGCAAACATTTTGTATTTACCATTGAGAAATGATAATTTTGTATACTTACAGCATATGATTACAAATTTGGAGAGGATATCTGAAGGGTATCTAAATAAATCATGAAAACTCGATTGTCAGAATCTCCAAACAGAATAATTTTTTTAAATGCAAACTGACTTACCACATTGATATGCTGAAAACTTTTTTGGAAATGCCAGTTTCACGCCAAAACCATGCTTATCAATTCATTGTTACTTTACTGATAACCCATTTTAGTATGTTTATTCACACTTTTATGTGCCACAGATACACTCTCCTTTCAGAGAAAGAAAACACAATCAAAAATAAAAATTTAGAAAAATATTTGATTTCACTTAAACAATTATTCATGACAAAAGATATCTGTTAACATTTTTGCATTTGGAGTTTAATTCTGGAGAAAATTACTATTTTATTAAAAATAACAGTAATGTATGATTGAAACAGCATATTTTTCTCTGGAACTAAACTTTAAATATAGAAAATGCTACGAGACATCTGATGTCAGGAAATGAAGATTACAAAAAAAGTTAAAAATATGCATTGACGTGCATATTATTTTTTAAAATAATTGCCCACACACATAGTTTATAGACATACGTCAGTATAAACCTTTTTTCATAAGATAATTTGAAGAATCATTCTCTAAAATATTTTAAACTATTTAGGAAAAAACCTGAGTGTTATTTACTAATAATTTTCTATTTCCTAGGCAACATCGCTACATCTGAAAATCGCAACACATTTACTCGCAAACGAATCCGACCGACTACTACAGACATGCCACCTAATCACAAGGTGATGGAATATGATGCATCACTGCAATCTACTGAATCGTCAGAACCCTATATTGAACAGGTACAGTCTGTGGAGCGTGAGACTCAGGGCTTATTTGAAACTAAATATCCCCAAGAGAATGCCCAAAGTTCCGACACAAAACCTAACAGAGTGGAGTATGAGTCACCTAACAGGCATCTCGAACCTGTACAATATGAAGATGAGAGCAAATATGAAACAACTATAGTGAGTAACGATTTGAGCTCCATAAGGAAGCCTAATTACGAAGAAACTGAGGAGGAAGAAACTGAAAGGATGCAAATCTATGAAAGGACTCGACCCTCTATTAGTGATTCTACTGAACAAGACACCACTGTAAGTATCCCCTTTGAGGCCTCATCAATAGAAATAAAAACTACAGCAAGATAACAAAACTCAAACACTTTCACAATATTCAGTACAAATATGAAAATAAGTTAAAAAGATAATTTCAGATAAAAGAAAATTCAGATTACAAGTAAGTTTGATGAATATTTTACTATTTTTTCAAAATGATGTATTTGTCCAAAATTATCAGAAGTCCAGACAAATAGTGGGACAGATACAGATAACTCTTGTAAAAACTTGGAAAATAATAATTAAGGATTAGGAAAGTGTAAAATAGAAAAAGCATTATTAAACGTTTCCTTGATGCGTCAAATGCAATTAGGGGGAAATTATGTTTTTGCTTTCCCATTATTCTAAAAGAACGAAAATCCACATTAGTTTTGCTGGATAGCAGAATCTTTGTTTTCATTTCAAGTTTGGAACTTTACCCAATTTGCTTGTATGTTTAAGCACGGTAATTGTGGTATCATGATTTACTAATATTTGCAAATTTAGAGGAAAAAACATTTTCCTTTGAATGTCAATCAGAACAATATTTGCTATTGCACTTCGCAGTTCACACGTATGTAAATACTTTGCAATTGTGATTATTATTCTGCATGACTTTCAAGTCAAAGTCACTGATGCTTACTGACTAAGGCCTTTAATGTGGCCAAACTATCACTAGCTATTTTGCATGATCTAAGAGAATCTGTGTCCCCACTATATGCAGGCAAAAACAATTTTGACTGATATGTTGCAGTAAACAACTACTCTGTGGACTAATACACTGACTAATAAAATTTTAAATTTATTAGTTCTCATCAGTACACCATAGGTGAACTATAGGTGAGCGTAGGCTAGCCGATGAATGTCTCACTATACTCATTTCATATGTGTAGTTAACATCAAAAATAGCTGGATCAGTTGTCAGTTGGCTCACCTATGACATAGATACTGATGTGAACTGACAAATTCAAAACCAGTATATCTCTGATCATTCTGCTACCAAATAATCATAGCTTTTATTACTGATATAATTCAATGCTTGTAGGGACTTAATAGCTCCAAAGACCTAGTGTCCTCAAAATAATAAAATAATTGGGTTTACTTTCACTTTCTGCAGGCAAATATCCATCTTCCAGAGAACGAAATAGATTATTCTACTTCGGTTCCCATCATGGAACTAATAGAGGAAAGAATTCAAACAACTATAGCAACTACCATGCCCACCACAACACCTGAAGCAACAACCACAAAGTCACATAGAATTAGAGGTAGACCTATAAAAAGTCGACCTAGGTTTAGTGTGAAAGATTATCGCCAAAGACTTAATCAGTATACTTCAACTACCCCATCTACAACTACAGATTTTGTTAAAACGACATCTGAAGGAGGACTACGATTGAGGTATGTATGTATGAATTGAATTCTTATATTTTCTTAAAGGGTCACACGGTACGTTAACTGAAAAAAGTAATTTGTTGGTAAAAACATACAATTTTGAGAAGGCTTTATATTTAACAATTAATTGTCTATCAAATTAACTTTTGACACCATTCTAACATGTAAATGTTACAATAAATCGACCAATTTATCTTTTTTCTTCATCCATTAGATTAACTTCAAGTTATAAATATTAATAATTATCTCAAGTAAAAAGATATTCTATTTATAAAGTTCTAAATAAATAAAATAAAATAAAAAATATTTGTCATACTGCTAGCTTTAAATAATAAAGCTTGAAAGAGATTGTTTTATGATGATAAATGATGAATTAATCGATCTATTCCTGCATTTTAAGGATTGATATTACAATTGGCCTCCTTTTAAAAACTAACATTGTACCATTAAATTTGATATAAAATTCAAAATATAAATTTCAGATTCCCAAGTCGATTAAGGTCAAGACCACCATCGAAAACAACAACAACGACGACGGAAAGCTATGATCCAGATGAAGAAGAACAAACTGAACCAATCAGGAGAGGCAGTTTTAAACCCAAAGAACCTAGACATGGGACTACAACAGAAAGTACGCAAAACAACATAATTACAGAGAAATATGTTAAATCTGTCAATACCAGGTTAAGACCGTTTGGTCGGTACAGATCCACCACTGAACCTTCTTCTGTATCTCAAAAAGTATCCATCAAACCTAACTTATTCTCTGTAAGGAGAAGACCACCGCAGCTTAGTTTACGTAATAGAATACAGAACAAAAATAACACGAACACAATAGAAGACCCCACAACTATAGAAACTGAGACTGAAAATACAGAATCTGTTACTGCACCAACAACAGAACCAGAATTTGAAAATGTTTCTACAGAATCAAGTACTGTAAAAATTAAAATGGAACCTACTACTGAAATTGTCGAGACAACTACAGCTAATTTAAATGAGGATGACTACATCCAGAGGGTGTCTGATCTTACTTCGTCATTTAAAAATGAATACGAAACACCAGGACTCTTCAAATCAGTTTCACCAAATAGTAGAAGAATTCCTAGTTATTTCACGATCTCTACAGATGATCCGATCCTTCCAATAGAAGCATTTTTCCCCAACCTCAAGGATAAGGAACAAGAATAGGTAACACAATTTTATAAATACCTGCAACAATTGATTCTGGTGCAAAATTAAAAAATTTAACTTTGGGACTGACAACAATTTGACTTTTATAAGCATCTTGTAGTAAACGTGGAATGTTATAAAATCGTTTAGGTGATAGAATTGTAAAACCTATGTCGAGAATGAAGGTGATATATGCAAGGAAAATAATTATATATCTACAGGATGTAAATGATGTATATGGTTTTTAGAAACTACGATCTTAGGTCATTCAGATGAATCACTAATAGTTGTTCTTGGATTTTAACAAAGTGCTCTGGTCACAGTTTTCAACAGTCGGAATCCAGAGATAGAATGTAAAAATTAAACTCACAATATACAATTAAGATCTGAGGAACTATCTTTTTTCAAATATTTTTTAGCAGAAACTTTTTAAACGATAAGATCAATGATTCTTCTGATCAGAGTGACATGATCACAGTTTCAAAGAGCCTATAGTGTAACAGACTTTGACGATAAGTAGTATTGCCTAAAATCAAGGTTCCTACATCTACTTTTTTGTCTTTGAAAAGCTTTAGTGGTGTTTTCAATTACTAAGCTCCAAAATCGGAGACTTTCCTAATTCTTTTCTAATCTTTCACTCATCCCATACTTATTCACATTCACAAAAATTACACATGCTTACCTAATGGGATTAAAATAAATTAAAGTATAATCTTTAATAAGATTTATGTTTAGTACAAGATAAATTTAGGTATAACTTGAGGGAAATAATCTCTGTATTCGGTGCTAAAAGTATTAAATGATTTTTTTAAGCAGTCATCATTGCAATATTTTCAGTATACAGGGTGTCCGAAAAGTGACGCCTGTCCTTCTAGGATTTAATTAAGGGGACAAAAACGAACCGAAAATCAAGAGTGGAAAATTTTTCGTTTGTGTTTCTTTGTTGTTATTCAAAAAAATTATTCAAAAAACAAAAAAGTGAAATATATATCCAGATAATTTCTTACTTGTAAACCATAACGTGACGGAGCTCCAACATGTTGAAACCAATAATTCAGTCTAACTGCTTATGGAACATCATCCAGCAATGGCAATGGTAAGTTTTCATTTAAAAATACAGTTCTGAATTAAGTCGATTGGGCAGAATTTGTGAACCAACTAGGTACATAATTATTTAATAACCCAGCCCCATGTTTATTGACCATCGTCTTTAATATGATCGTCCACTTTTTAAATGAACGTTTTCTTCACGCCATTTGTACAGGTTATGAGTATTTATGATACTTATTTCTGTAAATGTGGATTCACCGGTCTAGAAAATATTTTCAATGAAATGTGGATCATAGTTATCACAGTCCAAGCCACCTGGAAAAATTTATTCGTAGTGGCATATTCCCGTTATGTAAAACTTAAACTTTTTGGGGTCTAAACAAATGCAGTCTATTTCTTCTTAATAATCTATGAACTGTATTTTAGGATGAAATTACTCGAAGGCTTGTACTAGGTTCTGCCTCAACCAATTCAGGAATTTATTCTTCTTGATCGACATTTAGCCCATGTGGATGTCTAACTAGTTTTTTTCGCGGATTTAAATAACGTGTTTCCAGTACACACATCAGTGTTGAGACAAAAAAATTGGATTTTCATTTTTTTAGTTTTTTAAATATTTTTTTTGAGTAACAACAAAGAAAAAGAATCGGAAAATTTTTCACTCTTGATTTTCGATTTCCTTTTGTCCCCTTAATCAAATTCTAGGACGCGCGGCACTTTTGGGACACCCTGTATATTCAGTTCTTAAGAAGTTAATGTCCGTATTTTAAGAATATTTCTTTTTAAATTTTCATAAATAATACAGCAAAATTTTATGTCCTATAATGATTTCTAAATTCTAATATTTGTTTTGAGCTGAAGTTCGAAAAAATGACGTACATTTGTGCTTTTCCAAAAATTGTCTTCAATTATTTATTGCCCTGCAAAACTGTAGAAAGTACAGAAAAACCGACACCACCCGCATTTTCAGTTTGTTTGATTACGAATTCAAAGTTTTTCTCCATATTCATATGGTTCATGTGGGTATATATGTGTCTATAAAAGTATCAAAACAATTATTCAGTCAAATTTGCATTACAATATTTAACAAAATTATATTTTCATGCTATAAAATCTCATTAGTCTTGAAAATATGCCCCCATAGCACACACACAAACACACACAAAAACAGACAAACAAACTTTACTACAGACATGAAGGAAGATAAATTCTGTGTAATATGGCATATTTGAGGTCATACCTAACTAATATTGTCAACAAATATATCAAAATGTTTCTCTAGACCTGTTACTTATGTGGAAATAAGGAACTCTTCGTGTTCTAGACAATACTACAATTCTGTCTGTAACGCATTTGCAATTACACCCTGTACGTGTACATGTTAATGTTTATAGTGATAAATAATATAGCTATTGTTAATACTACTATGTACATATATATGCACTAGGTTGTACCTTTTCCAAATGCAGTGTGGCTTTATTTATTTAAAACGTTTTTTGTATGTCTCTGGCTGGTGTGTTATTTATTTATTTGTAATTAATACATAAACTCTTATTTATTAAGTTATTTATTAGTCTTTTATACAAATTTTTGTAATATATGTATTTACTTTAATTCAATAAATAATATTAAAATTTACAAGTATTTCATGTGTATATAGTAAGGTAGGTGTTAGGGCAATTTTAAAAATGCATCTACCTTATAAAAGAGCAGGGTGAAGCTACTGGATGGAATAAATTTTTTAAAATATACTGGCACTAATGGGAAAAATTTTGAAACTCTGTAATATACAGGGTGTCGTGCTTAAATGTGGTACAAGCCCGTAAGTTCCTTATTTTTTTGCTGTTTTCAAAAATGGAATGGAATGTAGGGTAAAAAAACTAATCTAACTGTGATACTGCCGTTTTTGGGCAACTAGTGCTCATCTGAAGATGTATCGAATTTGATGAAACTTGGTGATATGACGTTTTAAGGAATGCTGAGAGAATACATAATCTATTTTTTTAAAAAAAAAATTGCTAATACCAATTAGCTGTTTTGACGTCAAAAAAATGCGTCCTAGTTGGGCGTGTAATGCGTTAATAAAAACAGCAGTATCACAGTTAGATAGAATTTCTTTACCCTACATTCTAAAAAAAAAAGTTTGAAATCGGCCAACAGCGTAACACCTTGTATAATTTGATAAAAAAATTTTGAATGTGTAGTTAACACATTCAGCGCCAAAATAATTTTGTTGAATCTACGCACCAGACCACCCATAAGACAAGCTCGGCGGACACCAGTGTCTGACCTGGCCCTATACCAAAAAAATGCATATTGTATATCACACCGGGCCATAGCGGAAACATTTGTCGAAAATTTGCTTTCTTTCTAGGCCGTAGCGGTCATTTTAGCGGACACAAATAAGTGGGCGGACACCGAGACTATGTTTTTGATACGGACTGACTGTCATAACTTACATATATATCTTTCTTGGGAAAGCATCGGCCACCTGCAAAATACACAGTATTAAAAAGACTAGCAAGGCCGACACTTCTTAACAATCTTTTTCTGTTTTTGTTTGTCAAAGAATACTGATGTAGAATGGGAAAGTGATATTGATATGGTTGGTAAGTATTTTTTTCAATAAATGTTATCAATTTTCTCTATTTATACAAGCTCACAAAATTATTGTATTTAATTGTGTTGCTTTCGAGATGAGAAAAAATGTCTGTGTATTTACTAAACTAAACAATGAAATTCCAAAAACTAAGGTTAGAAAAGTTACCACTTTTTGTAAGAGCTGTCCAGACCAGCCGCGGCTTTGTTTAGAATGTTTTAACAACGCATTCCACAACAACTAGTTTTATTTTGTTTTTAACAATAATAAGTACTCGTATATTTTATTTTCATATTTTGACATATTTTTGATCAGTTTTTTTAAGTTTATATTTGTTTTATATATGTTTCTTTAATAAAATTTATATAGAAAAAGATCTAAGTTCTTACTAATATAATAGCGTGTCCGCTCTGGCCCTTAGGATATATATATATATATTAATGTTAGTTTCAGCAGGCCACAGCAGTCACAATCGCGGACATGGCTCTGAAAATGAAGAAAAATGTTTTTATTAAAAACCCATGGGGTACTTATACACTATTATACAGGGCCATGGCGGACAATTAATAATAACTCTTCGAAAGTAAGTGTCCTCTGGCCAATGCTAATGAATAAGTAAGGCCGACGCCGGTGACCGCTGTGGCCTGATCTGCCTATAGCTTATCAGACACCGGTGTCTGCCATGGCGCTAAATGTGTTAAGCTGATAAGATTATAATTTGTACCAGAAATGTTGGTTTAACCCTCTCACTGCTCCAGACGTATTTATTCGCTAAAAATTTATAGGGCTCAAACTGCTCCAGATGGATTAATTCGCTTGAATAGTTAAATTGGATCACGCTGCTTAAACCGTATATATTCGCAACTATGTGCATAGTGACTCGGTTGTTGCGATTAGTATGGGGAATTTTTGCGGGTGGAGCTTATAGTGATTGTGACAAATATTTTTATGGAAAGAGGTACTGGTAACAATGCCAAGATTGTTCATCTCTCTTTCAGTTTCTATTTAGTTCAGCTGTCGATATACTGTTATTTTATTTAAAATAAAATCGTAAAATTGATCGTAAATCCTAATTTAACACAACATAATGTAAAACTATAAGTGGTCTAACTGCTCCAGATGTAATGTTCACACATGACAAACTTCTGCGCACGGCGTGGTAGCTACGTTCAGACGTATTGCACATCAAAGGGTTAAACAAAATTTTCATTTTGCGACACATTCAGATTTAAAAAAATCTTGTAACAAATTCGTATACCTAGAGTAGTACAAATGTCAAATCAAGAAAAGGCTAAAGGAGAATAAGCGAGATGAAAGTTGGTCGGTCATTGAAACAGGGAGTACCGGGAAGAGTTATCGTGAATGGGTGAAATAATTGCTTATCAAAAAGTACAAGAAATGTATTATGTTCGAGTCATAAATAAAATAAAATTAACTTATTCTTGGGCACCAGAAATTGCAGACACGTCCCTCGGACTAACAGGAGCTACAATTTTAAAATTTAGGATTTCTTATTTGTTTGTTTAACAAAATTTATTTTGTGTATTAAAAGTTCTGCCTACTTCCATTAGAGCTTGATTCCCAACATTTTTTAAGGCTACAATATCTATCCTTCGAAGAGTGATGCACCAGCTGGACTGATGGCAGCTACGTCCTCTTAACAACAGAGGGTTCTACTTAATACCACTTAACTAGAAATATTAATTGTTAAAAAAATTTAAATTCCTGCTTTATTTTTTTTTTTTGACAAATTTTGGAGAAGGTTAAAAACAAATGGAATATGAACAAACACATGGATATTAATAAAATTTAGTTTTATTAAATAACAATTATAATAGTTAAATAATACAAAAGCAATACATAAATAAGTTGTCTTGAGTTTGCCTTTTACACTGGCGATCATAAAAGAGAAACTTTAACAACTGGTAATCACACTTTATACTGCCAGATTTCCTAGCAAAATATATATAAAACATTAATATCATAAGATATAAAGCTGGTTAGACGAATTAGTAAAACCTAAATAGAGAAAATAAAAAAATGGTCCCTTTTTAGCCAATATACAGATACTTCTCCATAATAAATCTAAATCAATTGTTGATACAGAAATTAAATCACAATAAATAAAAAAATGATTCGATTTTGTTGATATGGCAACTAATTTATAAAAATAAACAAAAACATATTTTATAAGCAGAAGACTGATCATGCAGAAAATAAATTAATAATCCTTCATTTTGAGTTTTAAATACACCTACTGGTTATTTTGACAACAAAGTGCAACTTATTTTTTATTAGAGAAAAACTCCAAGCATCTTCTTCCAGCAAAACTGGCGATCTTTGCTAGACGAAAAGGCCTTGGAACTAATAAATTACATTTTATACAAAAATATGAACAATATTTTTCATACAGAAGCTATAACTTATATGTCAGTCATTGTAAGTTTTGGAATAAGTTAAAAACTTAAATAATTACAACCTAAATGGTTCACGATCTGAAATCGATGATTTTTTCTTCCGTGCTTGACCTGTTGGTGTATCCGAAGCACCAGAAGGTCGCCGTAGTAGTTTTGAGACGGCAGTTTGTTGATCGGGATGAACTGGTGTGTTAGATCCTGATGGGGTTCTTGTCCTAATTACATAAATTGAGTTAAAAACTATAAATTTCAAACTTGATGAGGTTTTAGATCACACCAAAGCAATTTATACCATTACAATTTTTAACTAGTCAATTAACGAAAAAATTAGGAGGGGGGGGGCAGAAATATGCGATAATATACAGTATGCACACTTAAAAAAAAAACAATTCAATGGGTGCGTACTAGCACAACTTATATAACGATTTATTTAAAAATTGCACGGTTTAGAAACCTTGTTAGATCAAATTCAGAATGACATGTGGAATGAGTCAATGTACACCTTTTAAGTGTGTGATTTATTTTCTACAGTAATAATAATTTAAGATTTTTGGATTCTCTAACAATGTAAATAGGTAAGTAATCTTTATAGTTATATTGTATTTGTGATATTGTAAAATTTTATACTTTTTTAATTTAGTAAGTAGCATGGCGAACAAAATATATACCGGGTGATTTAGTTTGATATTCACAGACTTGTATCTTTTTTATTTTAACAAACCCTATATATTTTTAAATCATCGCTCAAACTCTATCAAATGACATTATTAGATCGTCTCCATGGTAACATATGTCAAAATTGCTATAGTCAACTATTTTTCTTCAAATGGCACACATATTTTTTTTATCAATTCTGGAAGAAATTTTTTTCTGCCTTCAGCTATATAAGGAAGTCTATAGTTTTATTAGAAATATTGCTAGAAAAACGGCAAAAAAGATGAACCGTACTTTCAGTAGTTTTATTCTGAAAAATGATAGCCAGCTACGGAAAAAACTGAATTTTGATGTTTCTAAATAACGGTTTGTAAAAATAATTGACATTTTGTACCTACCTATTCTATCTACAACTAATTATAATATTAATACTTACAATAACCAATAAGAAAAACTAGATATGATTTTAATTTATGGAGAGCGCCGAAAGAACGCTAAAGCTGCCAGGCATTTGTACCAACATCGTTTTCTGCAGAGACAACTTCCATGAGATAAAATTTTCGGAAAGTTAGCCTGGAGTTTGGCGGCAGATGGAAGTTTTCAAAAGAAAAGAAGAGTTTTCTAAACTCAGAAGGGTAAGAGATGAAGAACATTCGATAAAGATGTTAAATAGCCTGCTATAGATCTCCAGATCTCATTCCTACAGATTTCTTTCTTTGGCCTTACTTAAAGGAAGAAGTTTATTCTTCGCCTAAAAATATTAATGGCGACCTTAAAAACAGAATAAGAGTAGAATGTCGGAGATTAAATAAAGAAAACACTAGAATGTGTTTGTAGAGAGGGAGTGATAAATAGAGCTATTCTGTGTTTGGAAACAAATGAGAGTCATTTTGAACATTTGAAATAAGTATTGTTTTTTTTAAATTTTTATATTATTATCATATTAAAAATAAAATCACTTTAATAAACATAATAACTTATTGTTTCTGCAGCTGGCTATAATTTTTCAGAATAAAGCTACTAAAAGTAGGGTTCCTCTTTTTTTGCTGTTTTTCCAGCAATATTTCTAATGAAACTATAGACTTCCTTACATAACTGAACGCAGAAAAAATATATCTTCCAGAATTGTTAAAAATTATATAGTGTGCATTTGAACAAAAACAGTGAACTATAGCAATTTTGACATATGTTACCATGGAGACGATCTAATAATGTCATTTGATAGAGTTTGAGTGGCGGTTTAAAAATATATAGGGTTTGTTATAGCTATTTTGTTAAAATAAAAGTGATACATGGTCGCGAATACCAAACTGAATCACCCGGTATAATAGTAAAAGTTTGTATTTTTTGTTTGTAACATATTACCACTAACAAAGGGCCAACAAACTATATGTAAGGTGATCATGGAAAAATATCTTAAAGCATTATTAATAAACCTGTAAGTAATTCATTAAATTTTTTACTTTACTATTTTTAAATCATCATCTATTTATATTTTCTGAAGTTATTTATTTGTGATATAGTTTTCATTTTTTTTATTTATAGCCAGTAGCCACCCACCATAAGATTTAAAAATTAACAAACTGTAGCAAAAATGATCAGTGAAGGGTTATTTTTTTAAAATAGTTTTTCCTAACCAAAAATCTCACACTGAAAAAAGCAGACAAATACAAAATACATAATACTATACATCACGCACTTCAAGAACACTTTATCTATCTAAGGACACAAAATTCAATAAAATAGGTTAAAATAACAAAAATGGTGTTGAATTGTTGGTATTTATGTATATGCTATAGTACTTAGTGTAAGGCTTTAATAATAGAAATTTAAAACCTACTTGAATATGAATTGGTGGCTATTTCATCAACCGAGAGAAACCGACTTTGGTAGTATTGCCTGTTTTCTTTAGTGTCATCGACAGTGATTTGCAAGTATTGGTGAATAATAAAGAGTAAATGCATATGGGATAGAAAAGAGGAATTTAATTTTTTGTTAAATTTAAAATATTGTAATGGCATAAATTTTGTTCTAAGTTACTAAAATAAAAGTGATTTTGTTAAAAGTTACCTAGAGGCTGTCCTCAGTGTTGGCGCAACACCAATTGTCACTTGTCTTACTTTGTTTGAACTTGCACTCCTGGTTAAAAAATATACATATACATGCCAGTTAGTCAGGTTATTATTTAAAATGATTAAGTAATTACAAAATCACACTCTCGTATAAAAAAACTCCAGTTATTAAATGATTATAAAGCCCCAAAACCCAAATCAACAATAAAATAAAAACAACTAGTAATAATTAATTGTTGGAGTTAAGTAAATGTGAAATATATTTATTAATCTCATGTACTAGTAGTACACTAGTAAATTTCCCCAAGTATGAATCAAAAATCAATTATAGTGATCTGAGAACACATAATCTAAGTATCAAACAAAAAAAATCTAAATGACCTCTTCAATTGATTTTCAATTTATATTTAAACTACTAAAAATCATACTGATAAAACAAAAAAAAATACAAATTTAACCTTTCACATGTTATACAATCACTCCATATAAAAAATTTGTTAAATTTATGAAAGCAAAAGTTGGTATATAAAAAACTTTAAATTAATATTTACAGGATATTAAGCCGAGCATCATCAACAGCAACTGTACATGAAAGGTTAAAATTGTACTATGCCATTGCACCCACTAAATTTTTAATTAAGACTGGCAAATTTGGTTTCAACGCAAAGGTATATATGATATCGCAATGCAACATAGCACTATTACTACTGCAGACTGCAGATATGTGATGAATAAAGGCTATTATTGCAAATAAACACTTATGACATTTGGATGTATATAAATATCCTTATTCTCATTTTAGCTTGATTGAATGTTAACCAAGATTTGCCAGCCTTATTTGTAATAACCCACAGTTATGCGTTTATTTTAAACTTTTGCACTACTATTTTTATGAGTCATTCTATAAAGAAAAAAAAAATATATTAAACAGAATTACTATTATACATGTGACATGTGGAATCATGCTACAAATGAAAATATGTATAAAGGTAAAAAAAAAAATAAATAAATAATGTGCTGTTCGTACAATCATGCAACCAGAATAATATTAAATAATATATAAGAAACTTTACCTACTAATAGGTATTTTTGACTTGCTTGATTTACTTGCTGAAGATTTTGTTCTGATTTGTTAGTAAAGCAAAGAAAACATTAGTCACACAAAATGTCAACACAATGTTTATTATTATTTGATAAAATAGAACTATTGCAGGTTCCAAATTACCAAATCGCTTCAATTCACCAAATCGTACAAAATACTATCAATGCTAACTAGAAAGTATAATACTTTACACATTTATCATTTGAATCACTTTTCTCAAGTATTTGAGAAATGAACTAAATGTAATAATTCATTTAATAGAAAATCTAGCAAATGGAAAATATAGATTATATCCATATGGTCTTGAGATATTTCCTGACACGTATAGTACATTAAAAATAAATAATACCTTTTTATTAACATTTCTTTTTCTAAAAATGGATAATAAGAAAGATATATTCCTTTAAATGGAGCATATTTCTTTGCAATATTTTAAAGGTCTTTTGACATATCTTTTTTAAACTTAGAACATCTGGACACAAATTAATGCAGTACTTATTATTCAAATTCTACGTTTTGCAGAACTGGTAATTTTAGGGAGTAACTGTTATTACTTCATCCCTCACTTTATCTTCATTTAAAAAAATAATAAATTAAAAAATATTTATCTGTAATCTATTAATGTGATCTATTAATACAAAAAGATTTAGTGCCAACAAATAGAATCATTATCCAGTTTTAACAAATGAAGATACATTATAAAATAAAACAAGTAATTAATTCCATTTCATTATGTTATCAAATGCTGCAAATGCAACATATACCTAACTATTTTTCAATAATAGTCTAGAGATTGATAATTATTAAAAATGTCTTAAAATTACTTAGATATGAAAAATTTTAAAAGAATTAATGATAAAGTTACTAACGAATATCTTGCACAAAGATGCAGCATCTGAGCTGAGTATAAATACTGCATAAAGTAGTGTCCTGATGTTTAAATTTAACATGTGAATATGATCTTGAGCTATTATTAAGATATAACAAAAAACAGATACAAATATACTATCCATATCCTCCAGTTTTAGGAAAAAGTTAATATAAAAAATACGTTTATTTTTTAATGTACTTTCCTTCCTGAAAATATCGAGAGACAATTTACAATCACCACATGATGTTTTGAAAATAATTTGAAATTTTTGCAGCAAAGAGAACTAACTAGTCCAGACGGTATCTGTTTCAAAAAGCCATATTTGGGTGAATCGTATATCCACGAAGATTTTTGGCTTTTTGGCTTTCAAATATCACTAGAAATGAAAATTTTTCTATGCGCATAAAAAAAACATGGGCTTAACTTTTGGTGGCACAATATGTTAAAAAAATTGGAAAAATGTCATATTTTTCTTCCTATTTAATTATGTATCTTTTTAAGAGTTGATTTTAGGCGAAAATGGAAGAGGAAAAAAATGTTTGTAATTAAATTTTTTACAATACATGACTGGTTACAAATCGAATGAATCATGATTATTATGGTAAAAATCGAAAAAATCACAAAAATGGGGTTAAAAAACAATACTTTTTAGGGAATTTTTTTGGTGTATTTAAATTGGGTGTAGGACCTTTATACTTGGCTCAAGAAAACTTCATGTTATGTAGAATCATCACACCAAATTTCATCAAAATCGGTTCGATAGATTTTGCATAATAATTTTGCAATCCAGATTTAAAAAAAAAATTGCAAATTTTCAAAATTTTGCACAGCAAAAACCAAGGCCCTTAGATACTTGAAAATTTAATCACATATAGAAGGGCTCTCAAGCTTTCAAACTTTTTTTGAAAAATTCGAATCCGTCAATTAGGAGAGCTCTGGCGCTTGTTTAAACATTGGTCGAATTTTTGTACTTATAAACAATTAGAACTTTGTGAATATTCAATCAAATCAAATTTTTTAAAGCAGGTTTTAAAAGTTCTTGGAAAGACGCTTCTTTAAAAAAAAACAGATCGATTGATCAATTAGTTACGTAGTTATAGACGATTCAATTTCGAGCAGGCCGAAGCGGCCGCGCTCTCTGCTTCCCCCACCACCACCACCCGTACGATTTTATTGAATTTCTCGCTTGCATAAATAACTTTAAACACGTTTTAAAGTAGGTTGCCAATGAAGAAAAGTATTGTAATCTTAGACCTGGTAAGTACTCGGAATACCAAAGGTATTTTTCGAAAAATTAGCCCGGATGTCCCAGTACATTTAGTGTAAATGACGGCTATAACTACGTAACTAATTGATCAATCGATCTGTTTTTTTTTAAAAGAAGCGTCTTTCCAAGAACTTTTAAAACCTGCTTTAAAAAATTTGATTTGATTGAATATTCACAAAGTTATTCTAATTGTTTATAAGTACAAAAATTCGACCAATGTTTAAACAAGCGCCAGAGCTCTCCTAATTGACGGATTCGAATTTTTCAAAAAAAGTTTGAAAGCCTGAGAGCCCTTCTATATGTGATTAAATTTTCAAGTATCTAAGGGCTTTGGTTTTTGCTGTGCAAAATTTTGAAAATTTGCAATTTTTTTTTTTTAATCTGAATTGCAAAATTATTATGCAAAATTTATCGAACCGATTTTGATGAAATTTGGTGTGATGTTTCTACATAACATGAAGTTTTCTTGAGCCAAGTATAAAGGTCCTACACACAATTTAAATACACCAAAAAAATTCCCTAAATGGTATTGTTTTTTAATCCCATTTTTGTGATTTTTTCGATTTTTACTATAATAATCATGATTCATTCGATTTGTAACCAGTCATGTATTATAAAAAATTTAATTTCAAACATTTTTTTCCTCTTCCATTTTCGCTTAAAATTAACTCTTAAAAAGATACATAATTAAATAGGAAGAAAAATATGACATTTTTCCAATTTTTTTAACATATTGTGCCGTTAAAAGTTAAGCCCACGTTTTTTTTATGAGCATAGAAAAATTTTCATTTCTAGTGATATTTGAAAGCCAAAAAGCCAAAAATCTCCGTGGTTATACGATTCACCCAAGCCAAAACAGATACCGCCTGGTCTAAACACATTTTATGAGTTTCAGAAAATCATGTATGATTTTCTAAAATAATCTTTGTACGATTTTGATCCAAAAACAGCACAAACAAGAACGACATGCAAAAGAGAACACACAATTACCCAGAAGAGAAAGAGACAGAACATGAGCTTGAAGTGGAAGGTGATTCTGGATCTGTTTCCTCACTTTTCCCTTTATAGACCGGTATGCGAGACCTTATAATACCAACAAATTAACATCGAAGCAATTTCCTCTGTAGGTATACTTTATTTTCAATTTTATAGAGCTCGTAAAATTTTCAATTTTCAAAGGGCTTGCCAACTTATATAATAATTTATTACAATAACATAATTGTCATTAAATATAGAATGACACTATTTATTAAAAATTAAATATTAATTAAAATCAGTTAAGAAATCTACCTTAGCCAACTAAACTACTTATAGATTGGTTAATATTTCTTAACAACTGCACCAAAATTTAGACAGATTTTTAATACCTTATGACAAAACTAATGATCGGGACAACAAGAATTTGTCTGCTCTGGTGTTGGTTTCAGTCTAAATGATAAAGACTTTTCTGGGGTTTTAGTCTTTCTCCTGGAATTTTAAGCATTTAAATATCAACAATAAAAAATATATTTGTTATTAGTTTTTAAGTTTTTTTTTTAGTTGGCTGCCCTTCTTTCTACACAAAAAAACCCTCCATGCAATTTTGAATAACCTATAACCACTCTGCCAATTATACCCCAATTATTCTACAATGAACCTCAACGCCAAATTTTATGTACAAATATGCAATATATTTCTGCGAAAGCCACAAGGATTTCGTTACCTTGGCGTTGCTGATATTCCTGTTAATGTTGGTATGCTAGATGCTCTGGGTATTCCCGTTGATCTACCAATGTTATAAGAACATGCCCAATATTAGTAAACATTTAACAGAACAAGCTTAGATTGTAAATTTGTATTAAAAATGTAATATTAATTTAACCTCCTATGAAATAAATGAAATAAACGAAAAAAAAACATTGAGAAGCTTTTCAATGAAAAGCAAAATACCATCCAAATTATGTTACACAAAATTGGTGTGTAACGCTTTACTAAAATCACTGTAGAGGTTAAATAAATATATAAAGTCAATCATTCAATAGTACTGTTAACATACTAATGGATATTAAAGTTTATTAAATTTAGTATCTTTTTATTATATTGGTTACATGTAATTGCAATTAAACTACTTTTTTAAAATTAATTTTAAGTGTACCTAATAATAGACCTAAAACCATGTAGTTACTTTAAAAATAAAAAAGAATAATTACCTTGTGGCTGGACTAGCAGGCGATATTAACCCAGTAGGTGTCCGAGGTCTAGAACCAGACCCATTAATATTTTTTCTTGTGGAAGAAAGAGTAGATGCACTACGTCCAGAAGTTGTTGGTGTTCTTCTTGGTATTCTAGATGGAGTAGCATCATCTAAAAGAAAAACATGGATGAATAAAAAGGCAAGTATATCACCAGAAACAATGAGTACAAAAATAATGGTACAAGTTCCTTCACTTTTCTAAAATTTAATATTGTTGGAATTACATAACCTCAAACTTGTGATTTCTTAATCTTCAGCAGGATATTTTTTTTTTTTCATTTGGTGCATTTATCATTGTTAAAAATAACTACTATGAAAAATTCATAAAAATTCTGAAGCACTAATCCCTATTGTTAAGCGATTTAATTATGTGAAAAACCAATCAATCCATTTTGTAGCCAATAAAGACCATTTAAACACTATAATTTTAATGTCCTTTTTTCGTAAGTGCTATTGGTTATCAACAATATATATCAAATTTGAAAAACAATCACTATACTAAAAAGTAGTTATGGAAATATAAAAAAATATTTAAAACGATATATATAATATGTATTAATTTTTTGAAAAAGTGTCAAGTTCTAACACTATTTTTATTTACAAGAAAAAACATTATTTTTTTTTTGCTTATAGTTCCCGGACACCTTGTATACGGTACTCGTATACCATCTAATCAAATCACAACTAATCTTGATCGAAATTATAACTTACCAGTACTGTCCAATGAGAGATTTGATCCATGCCTGGATGGTGGTTTGCTTCCTGGCCTGCTACCTGTCCTTGAGGCAGGTCTTGAGTTGCTTCTGGAACCTCCTGGAGTCAGCGTAGACCTATAGGAAGGTTTGCGAGGGGTACGGAATGTTGCACTTTCATTATCGGATAAGGAATCGGGTGTACCAGCCGACAACGAGGATTTTGAAGTACGTGGAAGACTTCCCATTGGCACTGACCTCTGAGAACGTTCTCGAACCTGTAGAAGATAACATCTTTGATTTTCAGAATCCAATGAACTTTAAAGCAATTTATTTTTTTAAATAGTAAATACTAACAACCATAAAATTTCAACTTTATCAAAAACTACAGTAATTGTGTTTTACGGAATTAGTCAGTTAAAAGTGAATTAATAAAAAAATGGGTATACGAGTAGTTCCAATACAGGATGTTCCAATATTCTACTAAAAAAAGGTTCTCTACCAAAATTCTACCAAAAAAACGTCCTCAAACCCGTTTCCTTTGAAATATAGGGTTATAAAATTTAACTTCTTTTTATTATCATTTATTTTACACGTTTGTTGGTACATGAAATTGTACTAATGGTACTATTTGCTGGCGAGTTAGGTGACCAGATTTGAAACCATTATTACAGCTTTATTTCGAGCTAGCCAATAGGTTACATAGAAAAATGATGTTGCTTAAGTCATTTTTCAATTTACATTACACAAACAAACAGTTGATGGGACAAAAAATTTCACAGGATCAAATAATAGCAGCATAAAACTGAGTTGTCTTTTTTCAAAGAAAAGTCAGTGTTGTCACAACAAGAAAAAGGTGTACAACAAATGACAATAGTTATATAAAAACTATTTTATAAATCGAAACATTTGTGATTCATATGAACTTTTTTTATATATTTGATCAAAGAATCACCCTTTGTCAGTGGAACATTAAACAGCCTGCATATAAATACATAATTTAGGTACTATTATAAAAGTTTTTGTGTGATGCGACAATTTAAATTTTTTTTTTAATAAATTTTTTGGTTGCTAATACAAACCATAAAGTGAAACAGAATTAAGGATCTTCAGTTGACAATACTGTGCAGAATGGTGCTTTATCAACCATTTATTTACGTTGAACGTTTATCAAATTAAATTGTGAGTGCTTACAAGTGTATTCAATAAGTGACTAAAAGTATACAGTTAAATATAAATTAAAAATAAAATATAAATATAAAATAATTTAATTCAATTCAATTAAAACTATGTAATGCAGTCATTGTGAAGCGACTATTGAAACTATTTACTTAAATAATATACGTATTTCAACAATTTATAATGTGTAAGTACTGAGCCTTCATAAATGATTACAAGCCACGTGAGCAGTTGATTTTGATTGGAACAGTAATTTTATTTCCTTCATGTTGGCATTTAAATTTCAGTAAAATTAAAAATTATTAAAACGGTAAGATCAAGATTACATTAAAACACAACATTCTGTTTCATCGGCTGTGATTGGCGTAATTTTTCAAGAGATTCTATTCAACCAAACAACGATCACATTATCTCTAGCTTATACGTAACAGTTTCTCATTGTTCATTGTAAATGAATCATTAATAATGGTGACGCCAAGATTTATGGAAGTTTCATTACCAGTACCAATCGTGCAATGTTGGGTTGTCTAAGTTCGGCGGTCACGTGGCTTGTAAACATATATGAAGGTCTGTGTTTCTTTATTCATATCATTTTATACAAATAAGAGATTATAGATTTGCTACCATTTCTTTTACCTACTGGAGGTATAAATGTAAACGGTTTTTTAAAATCTGTTCCCTACAACACAATTCAAATAAAAAAAGACTTTACAAAAAAAATTGTACTTGCTAAGATGTGAAATTATTACAGTAATAGTTGAAGTGTAGGAACAGTGATTGTTTACTAACAGAAGATCCTTTTTGAGAAAAAAATACAGTTCTCTAAAGATACAAGCAAACATATATTTCTGAAATATCGATACTTACCAAAATTGTGCTTACCTGCTCTGGCGAGGTCAATATAATCTTCAACGGAAATAGTTATATCAGTTCTATTTTTTTTTAATAATAAATATTCTTTCTTTGAAAATATAATTTGATTGCTCAATTCATCTATTTAAATAATATGATTCTTTCTTTGGAATATAATCCATAGTTTGTTTAATAGAATTATTTACTAACCTGTTCTATACCTACCATTGGCACTTGGGACAGATACAAAAGCTTATGATGATCCTTTTCTGGGCCAATAACAGCAACTAAAGAATCCAAACAATCAAAAATGGTACCAATTCAATTATAGTACCACAACATTCATACAGGGATAAAAAATAAGGTACGTATTTAAAATTTATAATAAGACATAGTGATTTGCTAAATAAAAGGAAAAAGACACACTCATGCATACATGCAACATTATGGCAGCTTATACAACATTCTGATGAATCGTTTTCAGGTGAAACATAGTACAAGTACAAGATATCGATAAGGATAACATATGGCCTATGTATTTACATGAAATAGCCAATATACAGCATCGATCAAATAAGCCAATATAAAACTTCACGATAAGCACTTAATATTATTCTTCTAATTAATTTTAAATATCATCTGAAAATCAATATAACTGGAACTCTATGCCTTTCCCTGAGAACAATTTATCAAAATGTGGGGAAAATTCCACTTCAAAAAAGACTACAAAACTAGCTGAAAAGGCCCACACCCCGAGGTGTAAAATAACAAATAAAAATTGTGACATATTACCCAATAGCAGGTGTTAGGATTTACGTGAGCCATGTGTAAGGTGGGCCCTGCCGTGGATCCCACATGCAAGGGGTATGCATTCCCACACTCTCCTCTGGCCCTTATTTGATCGAAAATAGGCATCAATTCCGCCAAATGTTCGTGAGCTAGATACATGCGAAAATGTAAGAGACAGTGAGCTATGAAAGATTGTGTACATTGTGGAAAAAGTACAAAAATATCTGAAGAAATATACACAATTCCAAAACACACGTGTATGTAGTAGTACTGTGTAGTTTAAACTAATGTTCCATATACTCTAGTGCTTCATATTACATAAGTAATGTTGCAATATTTTGTCGATAATGATATTAATTGAGTACTATTAATTTATAATATATCTATCTCAAATCTTGATAAAGAGTAACCAAAAAAATTAGTAATAGTTAAAATTGTGATAGTAACACCGATATATATTTAAAAAGTGTGCTGAATTCCTATAATGTTTTTGCAATGCATGAACAAATGAAAAAGGATGAATTGGTCAAAATTCCTAATTTTTTTTCTTCGGTTATAATAAAAAAGGGTTAAATGACGGTTGTTCACCGAAATACGAGATAAAAAAGATAGGTTAGCTTTACAATTTTTAACAAGAATGACAACCACATACTTCTATCCTATAGAAGTATGTGATGACAACGCATTTTTCTGAAGAGGTGTATTATGTGTTGCAGCTTAAGTCTAAAAATTTAATATTCCATGAAGATAATATCCAAATTGCAATATGGCCTAGCTTAATACATGGAAAATTTAATAAACAATAATATAACCCAAAATATGAATTTTTTGTGTCACTGGAGGTAATGCAACATTACATTTTGCGATTTAAAACTATTCAATGAATTAATGTAAATTGTTTCCATAGCATATGCAACTCATAATACATTTATTATTGAGCAACATGTTAAAAATTGCAGTGTATTCCATTAACTAATACTGAATCAGTTATTTGTCTTATATTTTACAACAAAAATGACGTAAAAATTTTGAGCCATGCTTATCAAATTGACAAATGTAAGTTTTCCTGATTTATGCTGTCATGGAACCAGTAATGTGTTCGGGTTAGAGTTCCCATCAGTACGGAAAATATACTGGAAGTCAAATGTATAAAGGATATTGACTATTATAGTTACCACAATGGATGTTTTTATTACCTGAATTAATTTCGATGTTCAATGCGAGTAACATTAAGATGTAAGTAGACGATAATGAATTATTTTGATAATTTTCACAGAAATATGTCTCTGTGGTCATTATTGAAGCTGACGATTATATTGCCACATACATTGTGCAAAACAAAATATAGAACTAAATGGAAACAAATTGTGGATAACTGTGGATGAAAAATAATACAATAGGGCAGATTTTAATGTGTATTCTAAGAAGGCCTCATGAAGTAAAATATGTTCAATTTTTTATTGACAATTGTCCATTTTTTAAAGAGATCACCAGCCATTTTATGATACAGATATATGTTACACGTTTTATTTGCAGCAAAATGAGATGCTGGTAAATTTATTTTACAGTTAAAATTATTTTAACATTTTTTCTAATTTCTTTTCCAAAAATTTAAATATTTTTTTATATCACCACAAAAATATATCAACAATTTTGATTTAGAAATGGACCAAATAAAAACTGACTCAATTTTTACACTAATTCTTAACGACTTAAAAAGTGTATATGTATATACGTAAATTAGGGTGGCCCAAAAAAAAAACGGTTTTTTTTGGTGTCTTTTGTGAAAATATGTTAGTTTATCATGTTTTAAGAGCCCCCTCAAAAAATCAGCTAAAAAAATTTTTTTAGGGGTCTGCTCAAGATTTTTTAAAATTTCCAAAATCGTCAAAAATTTATTTTTTTTTTAATTTTTTTTCTCGTTATTTTATCATTTTTTAAGTTGAAAAAATCTCAATTCTGAAAATTTCAAATCAATATTTTAATTTCTAAAGGTCACTCATAATTATTTTAACTTTTAAAGTACTGTAGGTACCTATGTTTTCAAGCGAACTCTAAAAATAAATATCAACGAACTAATAATTTTTTTTAATGAATTTGATGAACAAAGGAATAGAAATAAATCACGAAACACTTAAATTTTAAAAAATTTAAAAATTATAAATAGGTATTTGATACTCACAGTGCGGTAGTAAATATTGCCTCGAGAAATTTTTTAAGTGTCGTGATTTATTTCTATTCTTTTTTTCATCAAATTCAATAAAAAAAATTATTAGTTCGTTCATATTTATTTTTAGAGGTCGCTGGAAAACATTTTAGGTACAATACTTTTAAAGTTAAAATAATTATCAGTGACCTTTAGAAATTAAAATATCGATTTGAAATTTTCAGAATCTGTTGAAAGATACTCAAGTTACGTAAACAAAAACATTCCCATCCTTAGATACTAATGCCTACTTTTAATGTGTTTATATTTCTCAAGCCCAACGGCCCTTAAAAATTAAAATTAAAATACTTATAAACATACGGAGGTATATTGTATCACTAAGCTTAAGAGTGAATTTTTAGTTTTTAATCTGATTTGATACAGAATAGATGTGCTATCTGAATAAGTGAATAAACAATATCTTTTAATTATTAAAGTGTTTTAGTTCTACCCATAATCCCAATAGAATTGATATTTTTTTCAACTTAGAAAATGATAAAATAACGAGAAAAAAAATTAGAAAAAATAAAAAAATTAAATTTTTGACGATTTTGGAATTTTTTAAAAATCTTGAGGGATCTCTAAAATAATTTTTTTTTAGCTGATTTTTTGAGGGGCTCTTAAAACACGATAAACTAACATATTTTCACAAGACACGAAAAAAAATATTTGTTTTTTTTGGGCCATCGTAATGTAAATAATATATAAGATTCGTTTTGTGATGAGGGGTATTGGATTAACTGCGAGTATGTATAATGCATGTTTTGGAATGGTGTACAAGGGGATATTACTTCTCTAAATATAAACATATGATACTATTCTATACATTAAGCAAGTAGTAATCTCCAAATATAATAGTCATAAACCTAAATTGAAAAAATAGCAACCTTATCATGTATGAAATAAAAGTAGCGTGATGTGTATGCTAAAACAAATTAACCAAAAAGTGTGCATATGAGCTAAATTACAGCTAGTGTGCATCAAATTTAACAGATATCAACATAGGTGACATGTAATGAACCATAGAGCTGAAACGTTTACAACAACAATAAAATTATATAATAAACAGTTAATTATTAAACACATTTAAAATATTCATGTATTTTTCATAACATTAAACTGCGTACCTCCCGAGGGTACAGATACATTCGGTAAATTAATATAAAAATCATAAACACTTACCTTTACAAGACGACTCTCAAGCCCAAATATGCGTGTATATAAAGCATGCATATACTTACTGTGCTTTCTAAAATCTACTCAAGCAAGTGACAATACCTAAATACAGTGCAGACAGAACAAGTCATACATAAAAAAAATATATATGTATGTATATACATATAAGGACATTCAAAGGAAAATGCATCAAATATCTTAATATCACACAATAGAATTGCAAATTTTTGGTCCAATAATTCTTCACTTTTGCTGCTCTCATTTTAAAATAATTAGCAATTAATAGATTTTCTGCAATATATCGCTCAACTTTGCCCAAAAATTGAATTTATTGAGTTATATAATGCAGATATCATCAAAAACAATTCAAAACATTCATTTCCAAATTAACTAGAGCTTTGCATGATAATTTTCTATCAAATACAACAGATATTATGCATTTTTCTCTTTATAGCTAAACGACCATATGAATTTAAAAATAAATCAACTGATGATGTATGTGCTATTTGGTGCAATACCTTTGTGATTGGCCCTTGAGGTGTGCGTAGTGAAGATGCAGAGGAGCCAGAGGCGGGACTAGAGGCCGATGTTTTCGACCTGAACGCTGTCATAGTTTGCGACACCCCGTCAGCTAAGATGAATTGCTCACGGAGCTCTATATTTGTGCGTCCTTTGGCTAAGGTAGTGATCGGATAAAAAAGTGGTCAGAGGATAAGTGGGGTTATATAAATGGAGGGAAGTTTAGTCCAGACGAATTGTTTATGTGGGATAATGTGGATAAGAGGAAAAAAAACAAACAAAACAAAATAAGCAAAGTTCTAAATCATAAATGATGCAACTAATTCTAGTAACATATTTTATCAAAAAGTAGTTTTTAGAGCATATTTTCTTACTAAAATATTCTTGAAACAATTCACTTGTTGAAAAAAATGTAGATACATTGATTTCTATTTTTAAAAACACATCCTGTGATGCCAATGGATAACGTGTAATGCTATTGATGTCAGAACTATCACAATGTAATTTTTTTGAAATGGAATGTCATTTTTTGACAAATTTATAGAAAGCCATATCAACAAACCTATATTTAATAATATCATACTCCATTAATTTCTGAGATATCGTTGATTGTTACTTAATTTATCAATTATTATGATGAGACCTATTACATAGTTATTGTTAGAAAATAATCAAATTATATTTTTTCAAACTGGTACAGTCCGTATGATATTTGTTGAGATAGAAATCCAAGAAGATCCCTGCATCACTTATTTGGAATTAACCGCATTCAACACCCGAGGTAGAAAGACATTGGCGGAACATTTCAAGGCATGTCCCTGCTGCAGTAAATTGTTCAGTAGTTTCGATAATTTTTTTGGAATTCTAGATTATTTTTTTATAAGGTTATATTAAAAATACTGTTTGTAAGAACAAATCTAATTCTATCCATGGGCACCAAGACAGAATATCTCATACAATGAGTATTTATTACTCCAGATATCCTTCAACGGGTATTCATTTATTGTCTGAGGTTTTGCTTGGCTGTGAATGGTAGTCGTTTTAAATATTTTTTTGTTTGTTTATTACTGAACACTTTTTTGTTTAATAATTCCTAAATAATTAATATTTCAGAAATTAGTGGAACATGATTTATAAAATAGACAATCGAGTGAGCTTTCTAAAGATGTGTCAAAAAAGTACAAGCAAGTTATTCAATGGATTAAAAATATGAATTTTTAAAAATAGAATAGATTTGCCTGAACATTTTTTTAGCAAGTCAGTTGTTTCAAAACTATCAAATTTATCTGTTACTTTATCACAACTCAGACAATACGCAGGTTCATGTATCTAAAAACTTTTTATTAAAAAATGTTACTGTTAAACGCATGTGCATATATAATACAGTGATATTTTTAATACGATATATCACTTTCTCGAAACTTTGAGTAAAATTATCGTTAGCAGTAGATTCACTTTAACAAAAATATAGATATATCATATTAAGAGCTAAATATCTATTAACCCAAAAAAAAAGAAATATACAAAATCATACAAATAAAAAAATCACCACAATAATGTTGTGTATGTATGTCTTGTGTTATTAAATATAAACACATGCACAATCAAAAGAGAAAAAATCCAAACCAAACTGTTAATCATATTACACCATAACTCTGGTCTGAAGTTCCCTTTTAAAAATAAAAAATATAAATTATTTTTATATAGCGTGTTAAAAAAGCTTTAGAATTTATAAAATACTTGCCAATGACGGTTCATTTTTTAAAATAATTCTGCTTATTTTGAAAAAAAAAACGGTTTAAAATGTAATGAATTTTTGATTTGTAAACAATTCCCGAAAGGTACACAATTGTTTATTCAAAGTGAAGGGAATAACAGACACAGATGTCCTAACGTGCATCGTCTTACCAAGGGGGCACCAAGGCTCGTGCTGTTCGGGTATATCAGGGTGAGGTATTGGTAAAACTAGTGAGACTATATATTTAGACCGCATCAATTTGCAATGACGACGATGTTAAAACATAAATAAGCCACAAATAAACATCAACAGCGCAACCAAAGGTGTATGAATTGCAAATTATTTTAAGAAACCAACGAAGAGAAAGAAATTATAATTATTGGGGAGTTATTATATTGAGGGAAGGAAACAGAAAATATATATTAGTAAACATGGAATAATAAGCGGTAGGACTATCAAACAAAAACGACGATTATTTAGTTTAATGCAATGAGAAGTTTTTGTTTAATGTTCCTGTGTATTTTTAAAAATAATGTAACATGTCTTTTTTGTAGCTGACAGTAGGTACTTTTACATGTAAGAAGCATTAAACTCAAGTATAACAGTTTTCAAGTCGACTTTAAAAAAAATGAGGAAAAATATTTGTAGAGGGTGTATACGTTCGATAATGTTCAAAAACAAGTAAAAGTACCCAGTGATTTTAAGTGAGGTGATAATGATCCTTTGTTTCATGTTATACGAATAAAATAAAAAAAGGTAAAAAAGCCAATATTTTTGTTATTTACTTAACAATTTCCTCAGGAGACGTAGTTTCTTGTTATTTTGATTAATACATGAATTATGTTAATGAACATCGAGGGATATGTTTATTGTAAATCTTTGTTAAATGGGCGGTCGAAGGTTTGCAAAGCATGTTAAATTTTATTAATGATGTATCTTGTGTAATAATAATCATTATAATGTTAAATATCCCCTGCTGTTTATTTTTTCCTTAAAAAAATTATTAAAGACTGCTACAATTTATGCACCATGAAGTGAACATACAAAATATGCTTTTCATATTCAAGAATTCTATTTTATATGTAGTTTCTTTAAGCCTCTCTACATTACCACTTGTAATTTTTACTAATTGCATAAATATAAGTTGTCTGTTCATTTTTTCAGGGTGGCAAAAATTCTAGCACGATTCCGGTGTGAACGACAAAACTAACTGTAAAATACGTACCTCTGCATGGATCATTTTTCACAAGGAACTCATCTAAAGCTACCCAACCACCTCCAACGCGTACCATTACGGTACTGCGGAGGATACGAACAAGACGCAGCTTCTGGCTTTCACCAAACTATAAGAAACCTTTTTATTACATCTGCTGCTAGAGTATTTCATTAACTAACTTACCCTATATTTTCCTTCTCCTACTTGGAATACCCTGAATTTCTGCCTACATGTACAGAGCATCACCAAACGTTTGACTTCATCATGAATCTTTTGGGCTTCTGTGTCGGGTGCTTTCTCTTCCCAGTCCGGCCGGAGAGCTGCGATGAACTTCTTCCAGTCTATTAGTCCTCTGTTGTTCTCATCAAACATGTCAGCGACATGTTTCATTTCCAAACGAGAGGTATCGAATTCTGGAAAAATTAAAAATTTAATATTACAGGAAGTGTAAATATATATTTCTGGTATTACTTTAAATGTCCTGTCATGACAGTATTAAATGGGATTTTTTTATTTTTAAGATGGGAAGTTTCAGAATATACAGGGTGTAACTTTGAATAGCATCATATGGACGCTACGTTTGATCTTATCTTTAGAATAGCTCAGTATATGACGGTTTTTAGGTCCGAATTCTTGACACGTGCACCGATTGACTTTAAATTTTAACAGTAAGTAGAAAATTGCTCAAGAAACAAAAGTTACATAGTGCCGATGTGTGCTTTCACCCTGGGGGTGAATGCCACCCCTTCTCGGGGGTGGCAATGAAGGCACCCATTTTAATCGCTAAAATCAATAGAGGGATGAATTCTAAGCAAAAAATGTTCTATAACGTTTTTTCCAAACATTAATATTTTTCGAGTTATTTGCGATTGGAAATGTTGATTTTTCATCTAAAAAGTGCATGTTTTTCCACCATTTTTGATAAATAACTTGAAAACCTTGCTTTTTATCGAAAAACCCATATAGAGCAAAAATAAAGCTTTTGCCATAATGAATCAATTCATTTTCTGTTGATTACTGTAGATGTAATAATAACCGAGTTATCATTCTCTAAAGGTGGCAAAAGAACTAATTTTTCGAAGAAATCGAATATAACCTTTTTTAAAGTTTTAAAGACCTTTAAAATGCTTTTTGAAAAAAACTCGTGGAGTTATGATGAAAATAAAATGGTCATCTCATTTTTTCAGAAAAAAAATCAACAATAAAATCTATGGCTAAACCATAAAAATAGAAACTAAGCGTAATCCATGTACAGTTGACTTTATTTGGGTACTAATAATAAGCTCTGCAAGTTTGACCGGTTTAGAATGCCTAAATTTTAAAAGTTTGAAATAATGAAAAAATTTATTTAAAAAAAAAATCTTTTTTTTTCAAAATAACTCAAAAACTAAACAAGATACGTGAAAAATGCAAGAGTTCAAAATTAAAGGTCTTTTTTTTTATAATATTTTTGTTTACTTTCAATTTTTCTGTAGAGCAAAAATTAACTGAGATATTACGTTTTTTAGTTTGCATTTGCGTCCTTTGAGTCCTTAAAACCTAAAAATCTCGAAAACGACGAATTCAAGACCCTTCAACTATACAGGTTGATTTGTAGCTCTTGCAATTCCCTGCAAATTGCTTTTTGAAGCAACGAAAAATATTAAAAATTAAAAAAGTTATCATGAAAAAACGAATTGTATTATTCAGTGAAAATTGTCGGATCGTGTAAATGGCTTAATTTTCGATAGTTTCCGAGGCGTAATACATTGTAATGCAACATGCGGAACATGTTTTGGGAACAATTGCCAAAATTGTCCTCAAATCACGGACCAAACAGAGGAAGTCGACAGTGATGATAATTCCGTAATTATATGTAAATTTTTGATAATAGAGTATAATTGTATAATACACAAATAATTTTTATTTTCCCTTACACTGATTACATAATTTAAGTTTTGAGTTTTAAGTAATCTTGTTGAATTTAGTAATGTATCGTCGAGTGTTTTGAAGTAGGTAAAAATTCTTCAATTCCTCATTAAGGGTTGTTTATAAGGGTTGAAACGTTGCAATGAATCATCAGTAATATTATAAACAGTGCAATAAATCATTTATTGTTTCATAAACAGTAAAAAATATTCAATTCTTCATTATTGCTTCGTCAAAACATTTCAGAGCCGCGAAAACTAATTTTTGTTTTTTTTTCCTCATAAAGGGTGGATTTTAAGGATTGAAATGTTGCTACAAATCAAAAATTATTATTCAAAACATAAAAGAATGCTTATTCTACTGACATAACACTATGGTTTTTACGTTTTTTGCAAGAAGAGGTAGTTTTCACCCCCTAAAAACAATAAGCACACATTATGGATATGTAACTTTTGTAAAGGAAGGTGAAATGAGCTTACTCACCAATTTTCATGAAAATTGGTGCGTGTGTCAAGAATTCGGAGGTAATACCCTATTTTTACTGTTGTAGAACTGGACTAGAAATGCTTATTTTAAGTTCGTTTTCTGATTTTTTTTTTTAAGTTAAACCCTGTGTATACAAGCAAGTGCTGTGTATTTATTTTATTTGATTACTCGATAAAACTGAAAAGGCCAAACCTAGTTTTTTTTTGAAATTTTTGAATGCTTGGCAAATATAAAATTTTCTAAATGCTTACGCTTATGAATTCGGGGAGTTCTTTTTAGTGGTATATAGATTTTGATAAAATAAAAAGTAACAGAAAATATTACTTACTAGTCTTAATAATGCCTTCAATGAAATCATCCCTGGGAATAAGTTCGTTGTTGTCCTTATCCATCTTCCTGAAGAGATCTGTCAGTCTGGATTTCTTGTAATTCATGAATTTCAAGAATCTCTTCCTCCAATCGTCCCAAGAGAAGTTGTCAGCCTTTTCTTTTTCTTTTAAGTAAGCTAGATGATCATAGAGTTCTCTCTGTCTTTCCCATGACATCATCCAAACATGACGCCACTTGTCGTACAAGAACTTGACTCTTGGTGCACGGAATTCCGGTTCGCTAAATTAGAAGTGAAAATTAATAAATTCCTTTTTGACAGACTTAGTTACAAGCGTTTGGGAACATGCAAATATTTCAAGCGTGTTGTATTTTTAAAATATAACAATTTCTAATTGAAAACTGTATCAATTAATTTATTCTGTACCTAACGGCAGTCAATAAATCCAATGTTAATTTTGACAGTGCTTAGTGGGTGTTTCTAAACATTTTTTTAATTCGAGTAAAAGGTAAAGTTTAAAATTTCATATATAAAAAATTAATAATTTATAAGTAAACACAGAGAGTCCGACAATAAAGTGTACAAACTACGGGAACATTTCTTAAACCAAAATAAGCACACAAGTTCAAATTTTATGGGAAAAAATGTTTTAAACATTTCAAGAACACCTAACAGTAGCTATAAAAAAATACCAATTATCATTATCTGCCTTGAAATGAATAAAAAATATATATATTCATTTTCCACAGAACCAATCCTTCTATGTGTATACATTTAGAGTTTTAATTTATTTTCTATTATTATATAAAAACGATGGAATTTGGAATTAACATGGCAATATATCAGAAATGGTGCATTTCTGGATCAATGTTGAACTTTTCTGCATATTTTGACCTCAGCAATGTCCACTTAAAGTTTGTACACTTTCTCAAGGGACATCTACGTCTAACAATTGTGAATAGTGTGCACTAAATCACTTTAGTACTTGAAAATAATTAACGATTTAATTTCAAATTTTCTGTACAACCAAAATATATGTATATAATGTGTAACAGTGCTGTTAGTCCCAAAAATTTATGAAAATGTATACCTTCCAGCAGGTGGGAATCTTGGCCCGATATGGGGCAACTGTGGATCTGGACTGAGTTCTCGTCCTGGGCTGACCCTGCTGTTGAAAAAAAGCAACATGCAACACTCAACACAATGTGCTACACACTAAATCTAAAATCTATATAGCTATACCAAAAATCAAACAAATAATGTCTAATGATTAGCATTAACAAAATAAAAAACAAAATTAAAACATGCAACATTTGCTTGATTTGTTTTGTTTAGGTACCAAAAATTCTTTTATTATCCGTAATAAATTTATTTCGGTACCCAATGTTGTTTGTTACTACAGCAAATTTACGACTTACCGATTATAACTAACAGAGTTTAGTAAAACATTAAACAATATTTATTCTTAGTTTAAGTTTAGTTATTATTTTCAAACAAGAATGTATTTCTAAATATCGAATGTCTTGCAAGAATGCGAAAAGTTTTGCTAAAAATTTAATAAATGGTAAATAGGAGACATGAGGTTATATGTGAAGTGTACTGTTTACGAGCTCAAAGAAAACGAAGCAGAGTTTTTGAAAAGTGGAAAAACTCACTACTACCAAATACTATCGGTTGAATGGGTAAGGTTAAACAAACTTTGGTCAGCAACGTGAGCCATGTATCTAAACTACACTAAAATCGCTGTACCTTTTCCATTGCATCACAAGCAATATTCGTATGAACTAAGACGAAAAATTCTGGTCAAATTAGTCACTGTTTTCATATAACTGAAATCTCATCTTGGCAATTACCAAATCTGGATGTCTTCCTGAATTGTAATACTTGTATTACGAAAATATGCCAAGAAATAGATATTTCAACCCTCAGAAAATATAAACAACAATCAGTACTTAAACGCGATCAAAACAATTGTCTAATTTTTAATCTGAATGCCATCTCTATATTATTTTAACTACGGTAGTCAAACTACAGTCTAAAATTAATATCCAACAAACGTCCACCGTTTTCTTTCACTCTAATACACATAAAATATTGGAACGATTGTTTGTGATAGATTGAAACTATGGAGATATGTATAGCATCATTGTATCTCTTTTTGGCACTTTTAACAAACAATTATTAATTCACGCCCGCAATGACTGTCTTTGATATAAGAACACGCTTGTGACGTAATGGCAATCTTAAAACGGTTCTAGTGTAAGTATAGTATTGAATTCTTTTGGCTTGTTTTCAGAGAGTACATGATCTGTATGAACGGTTTAGCTATGTATGTTTCCCATATACCATCTAACAAAATTCTTAATATACAAAAACTTATTCTGTTGGAAAATTTAAGAAATATTTATTTTTAGTGTACATAAGCATTGTTTTAGTTAACCGAGTTAAATTTGAATTTTATTTAAGATTTATACATTCTTGTAGAAAAGTCATAATAAAATCAAAATATAATATTAACACAATATCTAGTAACGCTGACGAATTAATTAAATAATAACAGTGTGTTAATGTGTTAGTAAAGAGGTAATGAATTAATTAATGAAAAATGCTAACCTTCCTCTCAGCAAATCATTCCTAGATCCTTTGAAGCTAAAAAAGAGGAATATAAACATCAAACAAAATGCAAAGCAAGCAAAAATATATAAAACAGAATTCAAATTTCTTACATGCACAAATATAATAAAAAACACATAAACCAAGAAATAAATAAAAATGTAATCAAAACAACAAAAATTATAGAAAATCTTATCAACTACGTTTTTATTAATTAAGGCAGATTAATTTTTGATTCTCAATTATTTTAGATTTGTTGATGTGTAAGGGTGTTTACAAAGTTGGAGGATTACTTCAATGGACAAAATTCTGATAAAAGAAACATATTGCTAAACATTTGCCTTTGTAGAAACAAATATTTTTAAATAATACACATCGTTCTAGTATGCGCTGAAATATTTAAATTTATCCGAGTGACAGCTTTTGTTACTATTTGCCCAATCTCTGAAGTTCTGTCTTCCGTCTCATTATTTTACTAATACAACCAATTATTAGGTATTTTTCTTTCACCCATATTAGGTTGGGGGAGAAAAGAGTTTGTTAGTGCATCAGCAGCAATATCAATACAGTAGGCAAAGATTTATACACTAGCGAAAGAAGTGGTTTGTGTAGGATGTGTAAACAGTAAAGATAAAAAAAATACCAATTAATCGTCTAAATATTTTGATGACTGTTTATTGTTACAACAATACATCTACCACATGGGTTAAAATTAATTGATTGTTATATAACTGTCACTCTAATGTCTCTTCTGTTTCTGTATCAGTCTAAAGTAGGTATCGAACAAGTACTGTAGTGTCATATGTTATTCCCTCTCGACTTCAGCAGTTTGCAATATGTTTCTGTTCTTTTGTTCAGCATGGTCACTGCTTATTAATTTTGTTTGTATCATATCTGTTAAAATAGGACAAAGTAGGTAGTCATCCTTAAAAAATAATTTCCAAGTTTGCAAATACCTTGTAATGCATTTAATTGTTTTTTTAATTCAACTCAATTTAATAAAAAAAAAGTAACAGGTGCATGACAAAGAACCAAAGGAATTAAACAAAATTCAACTTCACTTTTATCATGACCACAAATCTAGAAGTAACCTAGATCATTCTGTCATATGTCACAATTTTGCAAAGAAGTATCCAATCATCTAGTGTGTACTGCAGATTTGATAGTAGTTTGTCCTTTTTTAAGTAATGTACAGTTGAGCCATTGGGTCTTTACATTTAAATGATCAACTTAAATCAATAACATAAAAGAAAAATGTTCGCCTTCATTTATTGTGCGACTGATACTAGTTTTGACAGAAGTTATTAATTGTTCCTGATGAATGAGAAAGAGACAGATATAAAAGCTTATTTTCGCGAGTGAAGTTGTATGTTGTAGTAGTATGATTGAATGAAGAGATTTAAACCACCATATAACAACTAAGATCAAAAGAGCAAAAATAGTAACTACAAGTCAGATATTCACCAATATTTAGTTGTGAAAAAACCTATATTGTCGTTTGTTATGTGCTTAAAATATAGACATATATTCGACTAGGATTGTTACTGTACTCGACGGCCAAAATTATAGATAGTGATTCATCGCTAGCTCTTGGACTAGTAAGGGGGATGAAACGTGCCGGGTTCGAAAATCCATTGGCGTGTCTGCGTAAAAGGCAACAAGATATAGAAAATATTGAAAAAACATAATAAAACATAACATCTAATATTTTTTACGGTTTGCTATAACCGGCACTTTGATCAATTTTAATTATTACAGCATTTTAAAACGTCCCAGTTGTGTTTTTTTAATTTATAAATTTATTATAGCCATGGAATTAGACCCCTCGTCTACGCTTATGCTATGACGTTTCTCAGGTCGGGCAAATCAAGTCCGTTTACACCCACTAAAAAAGCATTTCCTTATTCCCTACCAAGTGCAAAAGACAGAGATAAAATATAGATCGACGTTCAGTGTAACTCAGTCTATACACGATTATAGATTCTACCGATGTGCATGGCGAGCGGCACAAAGATAAATAATATTGAACCGTATAGAAATCATTTTATATTTTATACGCATTATGGTAATAGTGTTTTTATATTATGTATTAGTCACTCTTTATAATTTCAGCCGCCGAGTATAGGTTCTTTGTTGTCACAGATGGATTTACTGTGAGTTCTATGGTTGTTTCAATAAATCGAAGTTAAGTTCGTTTGGTTTTGGTGAATTTTAAATTGTTGTTATGATGCAAATAATCACAAAACATGTTTTCATTATACAAATATGAATCCTCACTATTTCCTAAATGAACAGTAATTCATCAACACAACCACTGATTTGAACTCGTTTGAAATCTTAATTCAAACGATTATGCTTGATGAAGTAAACGTAAAGATCCGACAGCTTAACTGTGTAATTTTGCAACTTGCGGATATTAAAAGATTTCATTATCAGTGTAATGATATTTAGTACTGCTGTTACCATTTTTAACAGTTCATCTTTTATTAACTAACGTAATTTCTACATACATGAATTAAACATAAATTAATTGAACAGTTACACTAAAATAAAATGAATTTTTTTCTAGATTTGAAGCCGCGATTTTAAAATACGATTGTAAAAAGGGTGGTTGAAGCTTTAATGACAGCAAATTTTAAACATTTACATTCCTATTAAACTAACACATTTATATACTAAACAGCCTGTTTCGTTGACAAATTCGATTCAAAAGTTGTCCAAATAATAGCATGTGATGATACTTTAGAGTAGGCAAAATTTTAAGTCGAGCATAGTTTTTATTTTGGAGATATGACAACTCGAACCTGTTAGTTCGCTTGTTCACGCCAAGATGAATCCAACAATCACGGCACACTCGTTCATTGTGTTCAAGATTCTCAAATATGCAAAGTCTACCATTTTCTATGTAAAATCTTTCCTTCTTTATGAATCTACCAGGAGACTTCGTTTTAATGAGGTACTGCCGACTTTACAAAAAAATCAGGATTTTTGCTGAAAATATTCAATTAATCGGTATTTTTATATTGGAGAGTTACAAAATCTCGATAAATACTCTAAACCTTGTATACGAAGGACTTTGAACTAGGATAATTTGGATGTAAGATTAATAATGATGAAAGAAAAAAATAATTAAATAATTAAAGTGTATTATAGCAATTTTTTAAAAGTGATTGTATTGCATGCATACAATTATGCAGTGGCGGTTTTACCATAAGAGCTGCGGAGCTGCAGAACACATAAAATTTTATGTATTTAATCATATTAAACATCAACAAAATATTTAAAGAATCCAAATGTACTCGCGCTAAAATAAATCTGGGAGCTTATATTATTATTTATTACGACGAGAGCTACGCCCCTTAATAATCTTAATATATGCAACCTCATATACAAAATGTGCTCACAGCGAGCAATTAGATGCGTCCTTTGTTTTTATTGGCTAATCAGGCACGTGACCCAGTACACGCGTAAATGGGAGTTATGTGTCTGTAATAGCGACAGCGCCGACAGCTATTTAGTTACTCGTATAGCCACAGCTGCAGAAATGCAGTAATATTTCGTTCGTTGTATTTGGCGGACACGTGTGAATATTTTCGTTTGGGCGTCTACGGATATGTCACATGGGCATGCGTCACATGGGCATGCGTCACATGGGCATGGCGGGGATTTTCTGTGATTGTACCGGGAATTTCGTGTGGTCCCGGATTTCGGATTTGCACGTATAACTAAATATATAATATATATAAAAAAAGATAAAGAAAAAATCATAACACGGCGAGGAAAATTAAAGTTCGTTGAATCGTTGGTAAACTTTACAACGATTTTTTTGTTTATAAACAATATTCAATAATTTAATAAAATATATTTAGTTTATTCCAATTTATTTACTTATACCGTCAGTAGGTAATTCGTGAATAGATATTTCAAAAAAGTATCAATTTCAAAAATCGTTTTTATGAAAGTCTGTATTTTTGTATAAATGGATTGTTCCTTGAAATTCAGAAGTACCAGGAAAACGCGTGACCTTGAAAATTTAAAAAATTTTCGCCTGCGGCGCCATTTATAGGATTTCCGGGCACTTATTATCCCATAATTGAATTAAACAAATGTGACAACCCTAAGCAGAACACATTCAATCAATGTTCACGCGCCGCCACTGCAATTATGTATCCTTACAACAGTTAGGATAAGATTAGATATTCTTTAAGAAAACCTCATGTTAGGGACTACGCTTTTAGCAAGCAATGAGTTTACATTTTCATCACTCAGATCATGTAAAATAGTATGCAATTATTTAGCAAAAAACGCAAATTATTTTTTACAAAAATCTTTTATAACTTTCTTGTACTATATTTTTGGTAAAATATAATGAAAGATTTGAAAAGAATGGAAAATTTTACGTTATAAATGTTACTGCTTGTTGAGAATTTTAAGATAACGCAAGAGGTCACCAAGAATGTCGGATTCGCCTTGGCGTGGATGAATCAAATAACGAGTTTAACTTGCCATATCCTAAAAATTGAATGTATGCTCAACTTGAAACTTCGCTTACATTAAACCATCACTATAAGCTATCATTTAGACCATGTTTGAATTGAATTCTTGAGGTCGACGAAACGGGCGAAAAATGGGTGATTTTTTGGGTCACCCTTTAAGAAACACAAACTATAAACAGAGTTAGGAACATGACAGTGAGTGGTACAGACATACCTTTGCTTGCGACCAAGAGAACCATAGATGTCTGGTGACGATTCACGAATATCGTGCTGTGATCCACGGCTGGTGATAAGAAAGAAGCAAACAAAAACACAAATAAGTTACATGCAACACAACAAATAAGCAAGCAAATGAAATAAACAATACGGGTAGTGTGTACTGTGAGCACAAATGATGAATTGTAGTGTAAATAGAGTAAAAGTAAAAAAGAAAGACGTTGAAATTCCAAACAAAATCAATAAAATTAGTTTCAAGATCAAACACAAATTAAGTCATATTTATAAAAAAAACTTACATTGGTCCTTTTCCTTTGGCAAACTTTTTAGGATCTTTAGTTCCTTGAGATGGCTTAATTTGTTTTGCTTTACATACTCTATCTACTTCTGTCTGTCTCTTCTGGGTGTTTTCCATAAATTCTTTATGGTCAGCAATCAGCTGCTCTGTTGCAGGAATGTCCATAGGTAGTTCCTCTCTCTTCAGAGCTATTAAGGTGTTTTCTAAGCCGAGCAACCACTGAATAAGTTCCTCGAGAGATTCATCCATATCTCGAAGAGACTGCATGTGCTGAGATAGTTTTTGATGTCGTTGCAATGCCCATTGGGATACTTCTTCCCATCTGGACTGGATAACTTTAATCCAGTTCTTGATCACATTAATGGAATCTGGGTGCGCTTTAGCCAAAATATTATGTGCTAGATCTAATGTTTGGTTCTTTTCTATCTCTTTCTCTCCCAATTGGGCACGGAATTCATCAAGTGTTCTCAACTGTTCATAAGCAGTAGCTTCATCTTCAGGAGCATTTCCTACAAATCTTAACTTCATTTCTGCTTCAGACAACCAATCAAGTATCATATTCACAGATTTGTGCAGTCTTTCAGCTTCTCTCAAAGCGTCACGTAATCTTTCGGTTTTAACATGCGCCAGATTGGTTACAATTTCCCACAACTCCGTTAATTCACTAAGCTGTCCCCTGATCTGTATAGCATCAGCTTTACTTGCTGTTCTTTCCAGCTCTTGACCGTTTTTCATAACGGATTCCATTTGATCATTCCGTTTTTCCAAGTCCTTTTCAAATTGCCTGTGCAAGTCTACCAAATGATTTACTGTATCGAGATCTCCATGTACAGGACTATCCGCAGATAGTTCCTTTTCAGCTTTTTGCAACCATTTAACCAATGCAGCAATGGCATCTTTGAATTGGCCAGAATATAATAAAGCTTCCTCCAACTTTCTTTGCCTTTCAATACTTTTATGGCAAACGGAGTTCCATTTGCTTTTCAGTTCCGAGAGCATATTTTTCAAGGTAGGCTCATCTGTTTTTGGAGCCTTGTCTTTTAATTGTTTGCCTGATTTCATGACTCCGTCATAAGTGCCTTGTTTTGAAGATAAGGCTTTTTGGAATTCTTGATGTTTTGCCAATCGGTTCTTAATTTTTTCAGGGTCATTACCGACAGTCTCTGACAAAAATTCATCTAAAGATTGTTCGGTTTCATCTAGCCAATTCATGAGGCCGGACCAGGAATCGTGGAATTCTTTAGCCTCCTTATAGCCCAGATCTAAAGCTCTAGTGCGTTCTGCTGACTTAGATGCTACTCTTTCCCACCTATGTTGTACACTGATCAGTAAGTTTTTGATCAAAATAACATCTTGCTTCTGGCTGAAGTATTTCAAATGTGTTCCTTTTTTATCTAATGCAAGCATAACTTCTCTATGTGCACTGACGTCCTTTTGGAAAACTTTATGTTCTTCAATTTGGCCCTGTATGGTATCTAGAACTCGAGACACGGGCTTGAGATTGGAAAGTACTTTCTCGGCATTGGTGAGCCAATCTACGAAAGATTGCAGAGATTCATGGAATTCTGTGGCCTCCTTAAGAGCTATTTCCAACTTAATTTTCTTATCGTTAGCCCTTGAAGTAACACTGTCCCATCTTTGTTTGAGGGTACGTAAGTTATGTTGCAGGTTTGAAGCGGGAGTTGTAGATTTCTTCAGATATTCATGACCTTGGGCAAGAACTGTTTCAACTTTCGGTCTGTTATCCTCTATTTCGTTGTAAATTTCCATAAATCTTTCAAGTTGTTCAGAAGCAGTTTCTGGCAAACCTCCGACAGGTTTACTGGCCGTTATTATACCGTCAACATCACTTAGCCAAGCTAGAAGATCTTGAATTTCGGCAGTGAATTGCTGAGCTTCATGTAGGGCATCTTCGAGCTCACGCTGTCTATCCGCAGCCTTCTGCATAAGAGACCTCCACTGGGTGTTCAAAGTGTTTAATTTTTCTTGCGTAGCACTAGCTTCTTCGGCTGTAAATACAATAATAATTATTTTTTATTTTATTCAGTAAACTAAATAGAATTTTTAATAACTTACCCTCACCACTCTCAATAATTTGTCTTCCAGCATCGTTTAGGGTATCTACACTAGTTTGATGAGCTTGAATGTCATTAATTAAAACCTTCAATTTGGCCAATTCAATTTCCAAAATTTGTGGATCTCCGGCAACTGGTTTTAATTCATCTAGAGTCTTATCGGTTTTGCTTATCCATACAAGCAGTTCATTAAGGGCATGTTGGAACTGACCTAAACGTAGCAGAGCATTTTCTAACTGCCTCTGCCTTTCAACAATACCTCGTAACAGATCATCCCATCTCTTGTTGACAGCCGACAATGGTTCTTTAATAGCAGCAGCTTGATCGGCTGAAGTTCTCTCGGTTAACTCTTGAGCTTGCCTAAATTGAAAGAAGAGATTAATACTACTGGTACCATATGTATTATTATCAAACAACTTCAAATTGTTTGTTTTAAGCTATGCCAAAGCATAGACAATAAAGCAAAGCATTTAACAGCCAACAGGAAAAACACATAAATAGAGAAAGAAAAGCTTTCTTGAAAACAAAATCACGTTCTTCGAAAAAAAAAATAAATAAATGTATTCGAAATGAAATATGCTAAATAAAAAAAAAAATAAAGTAAAAAATATTGTAAAAGGAAAAGACAGAAGTACAAGAAGCATGCCACATATATCGCGTTAACACAACAGCAATGCAGAAAATCTTAAAGTATTCTTGCCTTATGAGACTCCTGAAGTCCATTGGAACAGAAAATTATAGAAAAATAAACAAAGTTAGTAAAGTAACTGCACCTTATATACTCCTAAAGTAAGCATATATTTTTGAAACAATAAAACAATTGAGTATTGAGCAATACATCATTACTAGAGAGCGGATAATGTGTGTCTTTAACCCGAAGAATAGGTCAAATTTTGGTAGAGATGTGTACGCGTTCAAAAATGTATTGTGTATAAACTATGCAAAATATAATTATTATGTATAGCAAATATATCGTATTATCCTTGCGAAGATTTGTACTCTTTATTTAAAATCCATAAATCATGTGAACAGATTAAATAACGAGAAAATAATTAAGTTAATTTAGTTCTAAAGAAATGAAATGACACTCGCGCCCATCTCTAGTCCATCCGTCGACATCGGTTGCGTTTATCGAATTCCTGTTGGTCAGAATTCAAACTGCAGCCCTGTTATGAATGGAGCGTGAGTTGGACTATTCTATCATGCGCGTCACCTGAGGATATTCGTTACATTGACTCCTAATTTCCAATTAAAAGAACGACACTATTTTTAACCGAACTTTATTTAATAAATATGTAGTATACAATTTCTGATTTTCTAAATATTTTATAACGCCTAAAAATGTATGTACCGTGGAATTTTCGTGAATTATCACGTAAATTTCTGATGCATACCCGACACGCCACTGCGTCATGGGTAATGTATCTAGGTTTATGAATGATATGAATGTTCAAGGTTAAAGTCACAAATTGTCTGCTCTCTGATCATTACATACACAGGTTGGTCTTTAAGTACATTAAGATAATAAAGGGTAATTGTTTAGATCCTTTTAAAAAGTTCTTATGAACATGTGTCTTAAACGGCCTAGTTTTTGAGGTGTTTATGTTTTTGAAAGATTTTTTCAGACATTTTGAGATAGATTAACAAAACATATACATACTTGCAATTTAACTTAACAAAGGTCACAGGTAAAGTCACAGAATTTGTATAACTTTAAGACTACACAAAAAATTTTAAGTAAATCACTAAAAATCCAAAAAAGTGTACAAATTTTGAAAAATAACAAATTTTTATAACACTTTAATGATTATATTGTATTTAAAGTTGTAATTACAACAAATCATTTCTACAATTTTCTTTGTGAAATTAACAATTTTACAATATTTTTTTATTTATTATAAAACTAGCAAGGAGAAGGTAAGATAATCGGATTTTTGTAATTTTTTATATTTATGGTACGTGTAGTTTGACCTTGAATAAGAATTTTCCCGAAGTAGTTCGATGCAACGTTCATAAATTACCGAGATAATCGATTTTGAAGTTTTACCTGACAGCTAAATCCACTAGATGCGACACATGCCATTTTTTTTTTAAACGTATCATATGGTTTTTGTTAGAAACCTCGTATATTTTTATTATTACAAAAACTAATATATTTTCGTATTCAAAATATCCTCAATTACTAGGTATAAACACCGATAAGAATTGTTTATATTATCGGCTTCACACTTGAGCGGGGAACGCCCTAACACGCTGACAAGTTAAAATTCCTTTTTCTAACTGTGATTCATATAGTTAGTTGGTTATAGACCTTCCTTTGTATATGACAGAGCCACACAAAAAGTGATTATTAAATAAATATTAACAGAAAAATAAATAAAGAGTTTTATTAAAAAGTCCCATTTCCTGACATTTTTTTATTATTTTTCTCATCTCCAAAATTATGAACGAACGAAATATAATAACTACTTATGTATATGTAGGAATATTATTCAAATATTTAATAAAAATGCACAATTGGTTGATAAACAATATTTATGATGAATTAACAATAGTTTCTTAAAAAAAAAACAAACGAGGTCAGGTAGATGTTTTTTTATTTTATTTTTAGTATTTGACGTTTTACGCAGTGTGGCATAAGCCAGATTGATAGTTATCATAAAAACATGGGAAGCAGAAATTTTTTAAGCATTCTAGCACGTCGTGTAAATGTTGCATTTTGTTTTCAAAATATCGACATCGAAGCAAATTTTGTTAACATTTTGAGGGATTGTTCTTTCATCGCAAAGTTTCGATGCTTCTCTACCCTTTGTGGAATATACCAAAACTTTTTATGTCCGAGCAGGTGTGTTCTGTAAGCAGTTTTACTAAACACGGCGGACGACCCACACAACCTAGCTCAAAATTTTTATCAAACACTTGAAGAATATTCCTACATACAGTTCTTATAATATTTCATTTATTCATAATTTTCGAGATAAGAAAAAGAAAAAGAAAGAAAGCTAGATGCTTAAAAAATTTCTGCTTCTCATGTTTCTATGATAACTACCATTCTGGTTCGTGCCACACTGCGTAAAATGTCAAAATACTAACATAAATATAAAATAAAAGAACATCCTACCTGACCTCGTTCGTTTTTTTTTTTAATGAAACCTTATTGTTAATTCATAATAAATATTGTTTATCAACCAATTATGCATTTTAATGAAATATTTGCAGAATATTCCTATATATACATAAGTAGTTATTTAATATTTCGTTTGTTCATAATTTTCGGGATGAGAAAAATAATAAAAAAATATAGTACGTTTTGGAAAAAAAGTCACGCGATGGACTCGAACCAGCGATCTCGTGACTGTCAGACCCGAACGCTACCAATTAAGCCACGCTCCCAGTTGAAGAATGTGTCGCATTTAGTGGATTTAGCTGTAAGGTAAAACTTCAAAATCAATTATCTCGGTAATTTATGAACGTTGCGTCGAACTACTTCGGAAAATTCTTATACTTAATAGTACTGAAAACAAACAGTACATTTTTATCTTTACTTAATTAGGTAGCTAACCTAAATGTCATTAATTCATTAATGTACCTTAAACATCTCTTTTTTTTTGTATCTCAAAAATTAAGCTCTTTAGAACAAAAGGTCATTGGAACTTTTTTTTCCTTAAAATGAAATAAGAATCAGAGCCCCTTTATTATTCAACTAAATTTAAGGACCAACCTGTATTTAAAATAATGTTTAAACGATAATAAAAATAAGACCAATTTAAAAGAAATTATAGAATCATAGGAGAACATATTCTACAAACCTATTTAAAGCTTCTACTTTCACCATATGGGGATCAACTTCGGCCTTAAACATATTGAGTTGGTTGATTTGCTTCTTCACCGCTTCAATATCTGCACCAAGTGGTCCCATTTTTTCAAATTTCTTTTCAGCTTTTTCTAGGAAGTCAAGCAGATTCTGAAAGCAAAATTCAATTAGGACTATCACTGGAAATAATGAAATAATTCTAACCTGTAATGTTTCATGGAATTCCATAGCTTTTTCCATAGCATCTATTAGATTTTCTTCACGTTTAGCATAAAGAGCAGTGATATTATCCCAAGCATTATCCAGGTCTTCAATATGTTTCTTTACCTCAGGTTTATCGGGCTCTCCACACAGCTTCATGAGTTTTTCTCCAGAGCTCCTAACTTGGTCCACTTCGGGTTTCGTTTGATCGATTTCTTGTCTTATCTCTTGTAATGCTACCTGTTGTTCCTGAATTGCTTTAGGCTCAACTGCTGGTGGTTCTTGACAGACCAGTGAATCCTCTAACTCTTTAAGTGTTGCCATAACAGCATGCAGTTCTTTCCAGAACTTTTTAGCAATTTCAAGGGTATCATCAAGTGATTTGCCACGAGTTTGTGTAGCCTTCTGTACATCATCCCAAAGATTTTTCAGTTTATCCAGTTTATGCTTAATGTCTTTTATAGCAGGATCTGCACGATTTCCAGCTTTATTAATAACATCATCAGCAGCTCGTTTAACGGCCGCATACGCTTCTTTCCTTTTGTCCAAGTCTCCAATCAATGCATCATTATCTTCAATTTGGTCTTTTATCTTGGGGACATGGGCAGAGATGGGCTCCAGATTGTTAACTTGATCAGCAGTGTTTGACAAGGCACGCAACATGCCTTCAAGTTTGTCAGAGAATTTGGAGCTTTCTTGTAATGCTTGTTCGAGAGCTTGTTGTCTTTCGCGTAGTTCCAATTTAAGAGCTGCATATCGAGCATTGTCACTGTCTAATAGTTCCTGAACTTTGCTGCCATCATCTTCATTGCAGAGACGAATAAGAGCTTCACCTGTCTTATTGAGTTTATCTACCAAAGGTTTGTGTTCATTAATGGATTGAAGGAACATTTCATTTCGATCCTGTTGTTGGGCTATAAGATCTGGCCTGAGAGCGGGCATAGTAAGCATAGATACCTGTTCTTCCATATCTGCCAACCAATTAATGAGAACGTTATGGGTGTCATGGAAGTGTTCTGCTAATGGTAAAGCTTGCTCTAAAATTCCTAATCTGTCCGAACTAAGGGCAGATACAGTATCCATACCTTCCCTCAAATCTTCCATTTTTTCTCTAATAAGTGATGTGTCTTCACTAGGTGGACTTTCACGAAGAACTTTTTTCGCAGTAGATAAAACATCACGTACACGTCCCTTCTGGCTAGAAATGTCATCATTAAGTGCCTTATGTTCTTTCAACTGTACTCTGATAAGATCCGGTTCAGCTGAGGGCCTTTCGGCATCTCTAAGTTGTCCTTCAACTTCCCGGAACCATTCCAAAAGTTCGTCGATGTCCCCAGTAACTTCAAGAGCTCTTTGTTTGCCCAAATGGATTCTCTCTGCTCTCCTTTGAATTTGCTCAGCAATTGCATCAAACCTTCTATTATCTCTTGTAACAAGACCCTCAATAGTAGCAGCACCTTCCCCAGGACTTGCTTGGCACAACTGTGGACCCACTACATTAATGGTCTCTAGCACTGGTCTCAGTTCTTGTAAGTCTACCTCCAATCGAGCAATTTCGCCTTCATGAGGCTCAGCAGACTGCAAGATCGATTCGGCACCTTGCATCCAATCTACCAAACGAATATGATTATTGTGGAACTTTTGAACCAGAGGTAGCATAGATTCGGCATGCTTGAGTAGATCCGCAGCTCTAGTAGTAAGATCATTATATCTGCGTTGAAGTGAATCGAGCCTATCTTTTAATTGTAGAGCTTCATCTGAAGAAATGTGTCGCATAAGTTCTACTCCAGCATCAACTGTTCCGTCTATGTCAGACTGACGACCAGCAATATCCTCAGAGAGATTAGTAAGGTCATCCATTTGCTCCAATAACTTATCGTTATGAACTGCTAATACCTTGTATCTTGCAAGTCTTTGTTCCATTTGGTCCATCCATGCAGCCAAATCTTGGTAAGTAAGAACAAGGTGTCTTAAGCCTTGCCTTGAAGCTGTTAAAAGTTCTCCAATATGTTCGCTAGCTTCTACGAGGTGTCCATATCTATCAGTAACTTCCTGCAATTTATCTGCTAAGCCTGCTGCCTCATCTTCACCAACGAGTGACATTAAATTGGATGCAATTTCAGTTAATTCTCTAAAATCTGGTTTCTTGTCCAAAATATCATTGTGAAGAGCATCATGCTCTCTTATTCTTTGCTGAATTTTTTCTTCATCAGTAGGTATGATTTCCATGTCTTTCACTTTCTTTTCAGTACGATCTAGCCAGTCTTGAAGTGGAATGAGTTTATCTTGGAATTCTTTAGCTACACGCATGGCTTGTTCCAAATCCAAGGTACGTTGTTGAGCACCTTCAGTGAGAGCATCAAAGCGACCCATAAGATCTTTTAGTTGTTTTTCAATAGCTTTTCTTTCTGCTGGGTCCGCTTCTTTAGCTATTTCATTGCCCATACCAAATAGGGATGACATAGAGCCTTGCCTATCTAACAACATTTTCTTCAAGAATTTCTGCTCCTGCAATTGAGCTTTTACTACTTTATAATCTGCCGAGGGTGGTTTTTGATTAGCAACAAGATCTTCTGTATCAGTCAACCATTTTGCTAAACCATCAAGAGCTTCTTGGAATTTACCTGATTGTAATAAACCAATATCTAATCTTCTTTCACGATCGTTGATCCTCTCTTTGAGATCATTCCAATGGTTATTCATTTTTTCTAAATCTTTTTCAAGGGCACTTGTGTTTACTCCGGGAGCTGCAGATTGTATGAGACCTTGACCAAATCTGTTCACATCATCGATATTTTTACTTAATGGTTCAATAGTATTTACCCTGAATTTCTTGAAATCTTTTTGTTGGGCTCTAATGCTCTCAACTTCAGAACCAACCGGTTTCAATTTTCGTACTTCACTTGTGGCATCTTGCAGATCTTCAAGAATGTTAGCGTGGGCCATATAAAAGTCTTCAAGTTTTTTCAAAGTCGTTTCTAGGTCTTTTTCCCTGTTATGAGCACGATCATCAAGTTTTCCTAATTGTTTCTTAAGGGTGTCGACTTGTTGTCTGGTTTGAGCAGTGTCAGGTGCAAATCCACTATCAACAAGTCGTTCTCCAGCATTAATAGCATCCGTTACATCATCTGTTGCCTTATTAATTTTATTAAGTAATTGGCCGACATCGTCAATTTGTCCACGAACTGTTTTCAGATCTCTTCCAGGAGGTTTCATATTGTCCAATTCCGACTCCAAAGCAGATAAATCATGAGAAAGACCCTTAACTTGGTCATTGAATTGTGTCACTGCAGTGGCGGCTGACTGTAAGTCTGAGCAGCGATCATCCAGTTTACTTGTAAGCTCGTCAATACGATCCCCTATGCTGTCGACCTCATCTTTCAGATGATTGGCATCAATTCCATGTTCTGACGCTTCATTACATAAATCGTTAGCTTGTAAACGGACAGCATTCAAAGGTTTCTTTAATTTTACTGTCTCTTCACGAAGTGCTTTAATTCTGTCCAATAATTTTGGATCCCTGGCAGCACCCCCTAGAGCATCGTGTGAGGCTAATTTGTCTTCACAACGTTCCAAACCATGCTGCAAATCTCTAAGATTCTCATTAAAGTCTACCAATTTTCTAGACTGATCTTCTAAAGCTTGTGTACGAACGATCAATTCATTGTTTAGCTTCTCCCATCTATCTTTTAAGTCGGCTACTTCATTCTTTACATCATCTTTATCAATATCACAGGCCGATAAGAAAGTATCTCCCAATGATCGAGTATTTTCGTAATCACCAGATTTCTTCCACACCTCGTTTCTGAAGATTTGTAATTCTTTCAATTGTTTCTCAATATGTTTCCGTTGGAAAGATGAAGGTTTAAGAGTATCCAACTTATCTTCAGCTTGCCTCAACCAAGGTAAGAAAGTTTCCAGTGCCTTATAATATTTACGGCAATGTTCCTTGCAAGTTTGGAGTCTAGTATGTCTATCTACGGCTTCCTTTCGCAATTTATCCCATTGTTGTTGAATTTTATCAAGGTCTCTCTGAAGGGATCTATTATCAGGGCGATTGTTTCTGGCTAGAATGTCTCGACCCTTATTCAAAAGCATTATAACTTCATGTTCTCGTGCAAGAACATCTCGGTACACTGGTTCATTATGAGCAAGTTGTTGTTCTAGAACATCTCTCATTGCAGAAATGAGTAGTCTTTCAGAAAATGAACCAAGTTCGTCAGATAGCCACCCAAGTGTTTTTGAGCAAGATTCCTCAAATTGGCGACCGTCACGAAGAGATCCTTCAATTTCTGCTTTCTTGTGGTCCAGTTTTCTTTGTAAGGCATTATACTGTCTTCCTACTGAAGCTAATTTGGACTGAATATCGGCTCTGGATGCTGGATCACTCAACACATCACACAGATGAGCTCCATTGGCTTCAAGATCAGCCAAAAGCGGTCTTTGACCTTCTAATTGTCTCTCTAGGTTTTCTACTTTACGCAGTTGTTCCTCTGGGTCTTTTTCGAGTGGCAACTCATCCAAGTTGTCAGATATGCCTTGAAGTGCATCACGTAGCCTGGTAAGCTGAGCATCAAATTCTCGACTGGTGTCAGCGGCAGCACCTAATGAATCTGCTCTTTCTTCCAATTTTCCTAGGAGATCTGCCCATCTCTGCTGAATAGTTGCAAGTTTGTTGTTAATTTTCTGATGATCTGGTGATTGTATATCTAAGTAGTTAAGAACGTCATCTCCAACGTCAATCAGATGTTGCAACTGTGGCTGTTGAGTTCGGAATTCTTCACGTAATACTTGGACTTGTTGAACTTGAGATTGCACCATACGGGAGTCACTAGATATAGGACCAAGAACAGTAAGCATGCGGTCTTTAGCAGATAACCAGGATGCCAATGAGTCATGGGTATCGTGAAATTCTTTCATGTCTTCCATGAATTTAATTCTGTTCTTCAGATGATCACTCAAACTCTTCCAGTGTGACACTACATCTTCAAGTTCATCATTAAGATTATCAGCGCCAAGCGCTCCTGGTTTGCGTTTTAGCAGATCTTTTACTTGACTTTTTGTGGAGTCAAGGAGTGACTGTTTTTCATACATTTCTTCCAACACTTGTTTTATTTGTTTATTAAGTTTGTCTGCATCTTCTTTAGTGTTTGGTACGGTATCTTTAGGTAACTGTCTTTGAACTTTATCTAAGAAGGCACTGAGGTTTCTTAAGTTGTCGAGGTGTTTCTTCAGTTCTTCTCGAATTGAATCAATTTCAGATTGTCGATCAGTGATTTTGACACCGAGGAGTGAGTATCTATTGTTAATTTCTGACAGTTGTTGTTGAACTGGAGAAAGTTCTTCTAAATGGAACCCGTCCTGACTAGATCTACGGGATGAAAATCCGCTTGATCCACCCGGTGAAAGTGGACTTATACCCTTAGTTGGAGATGGTGAGCGTCCATCTTGGGTTAGTCGACCAGATGTCAAAGAGGGTCGTTTGCTGGCATTGAATGCTTTGCGTTTAGATGGAGAATCGGGCCTATCTCCACGTATTAAGCTGTCGTAAGTGGAACCTATGTCATTTATTTTGTCAATTGTTGATGAATAATCTTTATATTCCTTTGAAATTGGTTTCAGCTCTTCGTTCTGCTTTTTCAAGGTTTCAATTTCTACTGCCACAATGTCAAGGTGAGCTACTTTAATTTCCATTCTACCCAACCAATCTGTAACTTGTATTCTCAAAGTTTCATAAGCATTAAGCTGTTCAGCCCGTAATTTAGACAATTTAGCTTTTTCCTCTAATAAGCCATCCAATTCCTTCCATTGATTCTCCATTGATTTGACTTTATCTCTAACATTAGCTGTATCTGTTACATCACGCTTGTTAAGCATGTCTTTCCCAATCTTGATGGTGTCTTCATACATATTACGATTATCGTCTCGATTGCTGGCTATTTTCTTCATCTGTTTAGCGTATTCTTCGATGGGTAACTTAGTTAGGTCCTTAGATTCAATTATTTCCATAACACTATTATACCAATCCTCAAATTTAATGGCCTGGTTGCTGAATACTCTTAAATCTTGGTTGATCTCTTCCAGGAACACTCCTCTTTTTTGTGCACGATCAAATAATTTCTCAAAACGGACTTTGACATCGTTCAATTTCCCTTCTATTTTTTTAGCTACACGTGCATTACTCGTTGACACTATAAGTTCATTAGCTGACAAGTAAATCGAGTCAATGGAAGATATGTGAGTGTCAATATCAGACTGGAATACGCGATGCTCTCGAAGTTGTTCTTCCAAGCGTTCCTTAATAAGGGATGCAGGTCTTTGCATATTCTTGAACTGATTCTCTGCCTGATTTAGCCAATCAATTATGCCATCAAGTGCATCTTGAACTCCTTGGGACTGTACAAGAGCGGTGTCAAGTTCTTGGCAACGATTAGCAATAGCAGTACCCAGTTGGTTGTATTTATTTTCAAGTTTTTGTACTGGTTCTTCCAAACGGTTAATCTCGGATGGTGAGATTTGACCTTCCAATGACCTTAGAAGAGCGCCCGTGGCCTATAAATAATAAATCAATGTATATTAAGTGATAACGATTTTTATTAAAACATACCTGTTTAGCATTATCAATAAGACGACCATTGGCAACAAATTCATTATTAAGAGTTTTTGCATTATTCAACTGATCTTCCACGGTTTTAGGATCACCAGCAATAGGTTCATTAAGTAGTTTATTGGCTCTAGGTTCTACATCTTTCAGCCATCCTTTAGCTCTATCAAGAGCATCAGAGTATTCTCTCTGTTTTCCACCAACTCCAGAAAGCCGGTCTGATAAATTATTTGCACGGTGTAACAGATCTCTGTATTGCTGGGTGACCAAGGATACCTCACTGCGCACTGGAGAATCTTGAGAAGAGTAGGGTTCGATATGAGGTAATCGAGATGGTAACGAAGTACGGAAATCATTCAATACATTCAAATACTCCTAAAATTGAAATATGTATTATAATTCCTAAATAATAAGTAGTGTATAGCAATCGTCATTCATGATGAGGTTTTTAGGTACAGATAGAGACTCTTATTTCTATATAACAGAAAATGACCAACAATTTAAAGTAAGTAAATACATTGTAAACTAATTCAAGAGTCAGTATTTTAATTACGACTAAATAAATAACTCTGGGGCTCTTATATTTTCACACAAGTAACGAAACTCATGCTATTAAACCACAGGCTATTTTCTATGTATAACAATTTTCAGAGAGTGATATAAATTGGTCTTTAATGCAACTCCATAAATGTTTCTTGCTTACTAACATTATTGACATAAAACATGTACACAAACATTTATATAACTAGCAGTTATGGAAATACGTAGTACTATAAATATGAAACTGTTTGTTTTTTTCTCATAGAAATAATAAGAAAAACTTAATTAATTGTTTAGTACACACCTTTCCTTCATCCACAAATTTCTGCGCTGACATTGTTATAAACCTTAAATCGGCTTGATGGGAAATAACATCACTAACAAATTCCTTAGTACTGTCAGCACTAGTATCGAGTCTCTGCAAGTCACTTAAAGCTCGTTCTTTGTCTTCTAGAATTCTCCTAGCTTTACCCAACCAGGTAGAGAAAATGTTAAGTTCCCCTTTGAGTTTGGCCAATTCATCTCTTGCTGTGAAGAGACGTCTTAATAATTTATCTGTGCGGTCTAAGGCTTTATCATAACGAGTTTTGAGGTTACGTCCACTCTTTTCTAATGCTGATACTTCGCTTTTAGATAAAATATCGCTTGCTGTTAACACTAGTTGCCTGACTTGGTCTGCACAGTGTGACACTTGACCTGAATGTTGATCTAAATCATCTCTAATTTGTTTCATAGTGTTTATTTGGTTTCTTAATTCTTCTTCTACTTCGTGAATGACATCCTGGGAGGCAATTCGATCTTCTACTTCACCTATCCAGTGGAGAAGTTTAGATAAACTTTCATCACATAATTTGTATTTTTCTTCTACGGCTTGCTAAAAGTTTTTAGTAGTAAATTAGTTAATGAAGAAAAGTACCTTTATATAATACTGTTTTGATTTTGACTATTAACCATTCTAAATTAATACAGTTATCGTAAAGTAATTTTCTTTATCATCACAACGATGAATTACTAAATAAGTACATAATAATATTGACATTAGAATGGCAAAATATCATATTCAAAACAAAGTACTTATTTCTTAAATGGAAAGAAAAAACACAACATAGCTCGATGCAATGTAACAAAAATTTTGTTTTATATTTTTATAAGAGTACTGCTCATTGACGTTTAATGTGTACAAATTTTTTTTAATATTTCATTTGAAATTTTGTCTGACTATAACAAAAGATGCAAACTAAACTGAATTGACTTTTGAAAACAAACATATTTCCATGATCTTAAAGATCACAATTAAAAATAATGCTTGTTTTTTTATAGCAGTAACTTTAAAAATATTTAATGAAAAATAAAAAAAATTGTTGCTGATTGAAGCCGAAATATCTTTTGCAGGCATTCAGCTTGTAAGCTAAAAACCCTAAACCTAACACATGCATTCACAAGCGCACACAAAAAAATGATTTTCGTTAGTAAAACAAAAGATTATATCATGTTGATAATGTTACCTAGTACGAAAAACCTGTGAACAAACTCAAAAAAAAAATTTAAAAGGTAAAATAAAAATGGAACGAAACAAATCGAAGGTCGTTTTGTTGATAATTTCTAGAAAATTTTCTAAGGAAATGAAAGCACTACAAGTTTTTTTGCAATAATTACAATCTTATTGAATAATTTATGAATGAACTGTTATTTTCAATACAATTGACATTAATCTCAGAGGTAAATTAATTATTGAAAAAATCCTGAACAAATACTATCAATTCCAGAGAAAACTATCTTAAGTAGAAAAAGCATAAAAATAAAAGTAATAAAAAATAAACATAGGATACTGAAAAATTGCTTACCTATTAAAAACTTGTAAATTAATTTGACTAACAACTATTGTTACTAGTTAATGTTATGTAATAAGTTATGGATTTTTTAGATTAAATCTAATTTAATTAATTTATGGGTTACATCTTACTGACAGTATAATTATTTTAATAAACCATGATAATGGAGTAGTCGATTTTTAGCATGGATCAGTTTTTGATATATCATTTGTATTATTAAGAAATAAACTGAATGGAGTGGGTGGCTTGGTAAGTTGTTAAGGGACGATTAAGGTAACGAAATAAATGAAATGTCAAAAACTGATTATGACAAGCACAACATGTATTAAGCCAATCCGTTATGTTAAATGAGGTGCAAAACGGCAGTCAAGATGCCTTTCAATGCACTTATTGAATGCAGGAGGGCCACCACACAAAAATGAAAAGCTCCCACGAGGCTTGAAGCTGTAAAAAATTATTATATCGTAAGTCATTTTGTCAGTATCAATTAAGGATTTTATTAAACTTGACTTTACATAAATACCCATTATGTATCCGTACTTAAAACTGCCTGCATGTTTTGTAAAAAATGAGGACAAAATCTACTTAAAGAAACAATTACTAATACTAAATCTTATTTCCATTTAATACTATCTCAAGCAGATTCTAGTGGATACGGATATTGCCGTGTGTTTCTAAACCCATATAAAATTTGTGCAACCGTGAAAAAAAATTATATGTGCCTAAAGGGAAAATAAACATGGCATTATATGGATAATGGTGATGTTTTGTATATGATGCCTAAGCTTGTGTTCATGCATGCTTTCCAAGCTTGTTTATCACATTTTAGCCAAAATTAGTAAGCATAAAAAGGTTTACAAAAGAACTTACCCTTTGCTCTGCGGGCAAAATCAATCCCTTCTCGAGGGATTTTGCAAAATCTATGAATTTGTTTTCATTTTTGTCATGTATCCTGCCTTCAATTGGATCGACCAGTTGAGTATCTATTGCATGTAGCAACGGAACTATTGCGCTACTTTCTGGGTCTTTAACAACTGTACTACTTGGATCTACTAAATTCTCCGATATAGCATCTCCAAGAGTCAATTTCTTTCGGTCAATTATGTTAGTATTTATGAAGGGATCATTGAAACATCCCGTAGTTGGATTATAAAGGCCATACGTAATGGATTCTATCAATGTGAAACCTCTATTTGGTGTAACAAGTAACCCACTGTCCAAAGCAGCAGGTAAACTGAATAACTTAGATGTCGCACTGTCGAGTACATTGCCTTTTTCAGAATCGATAAGACCCTTTCTAAAGCCTTCGGGAAGTTTTACTAGTTTCTTTTTATTAGAGTCTTTAATAAGAGCTGTGTCTGGATCAATAAAACCCAAAGAGATTGAATCTTTTAATGACAGAACTTCGTTGGATTGTGGATCAGTGAATTTACCCGTGTTAATATCTAAAATACCCGATTCTACAGCTTGACTGAAAGATAAAGGTTCTTTTAAATAAATTATGGCAACTTGATCATAAGTCACAATTAACGATTTAACTTTATGCGTTACTGTATCAAATACAACAGTTTTCGTTATATCTAATTGCTTATTTTTAATGGCATCTTGTACAGTTTTAAATTTACCAGTTTGAAGATCTTTGGTTACAGCAACATCTGGATCTATTAGTTCAAATTTAATGGCTTCTTCTAGAGAGCACTCTCGAGTTTGTTTAGGTGCAGCACCAGAATCTGTGACTGTTTTCTGAGAAAATTCTTCATTAAGAGGTTTATCCAGGGTTATTAAAAGACCTTTTCTAAACGCTTCATCGAGGTTGTATGATTTCTTCGATTTTGAATCTAAAACTCTACCCTTTTCTACATCAATTCTGTGTTCTTGAATGGCAGCTGGAAGAGATTTGGTAGTATTACTCACCAGGTCTTTTAATACTGTTGTTTGAGGATCTATAAATCCAACTGACAATGATTGAGAAATGTCGTAAAATTCTCCATTTGAGGGATTGGCAATTTTACCAGATTCAGGCCTATACAAACAGTTTGATATTGCTTCTTCAAGTGTCAGTGGTGTTCGACATGTAACAATTAAACCTTTAGCCTTGGCTTCTAGTAGATCAATATTTTTTCCATTGGGACAATTGTAAACATTTAGTTGATCATCTATTAAGTTTGTTTCAATAGCTACAGGTAAAGAAACATATTTATTTTGCTGGTTATTTTTTACTAAAGAGATAACTGGATTTATAAGTTCATTTTCACAAGCATCCTTTAAGCTGTACTTATGCCCAGTAGCTGGGTGTACAAAAACTTTTTCATCAGGAATGTACAAACCCATTTCTAAAGCTTCATACAGACCAAAATTGGCAGCCTCTATATCTACTATTAATCCTGAATTCAATGCTTCTAACAAATTTATAGGTTTGTCACTGTAAGGCTCTTTAAATGTACCATTAAGTTTATCGATAATGCCTAAGCGGCAGGTGTCCGTTAGATTATATAATACTCCTTGCTTCTTATCAAAGTAGCAGGGTAATGATGGATTGATGTTAAAGTTACGTATTGCTTCATGTAATGTGATCTTCCTGTCAGTAGTTGTGTCTAATATTTTACCTGATTTCTCATCATAAAGACCTTGATGAATAGCTCTCTGTAATGAAACTGCTGCCTTGTTATCTACTAAAATACCTGATGCAAAAGCCTTCTGCAAAGATACCTCATAATTTTCACCCTTTGAAAAATCTTTTACTAGCCCTGTATTGCCATCTACATAATTATTGTGAATAGCATCAATAAGTGGGATTTTTCTCCAAATACCTAGTCGAGTATCTTTAATGCTAACTGAATCTGCATCGATCAAATTGATTTCTATGGCCTCTATTAAAGTGAGATATTGACCTGTCTGTGGATCCAAAAATAGTTGAGATTCTTCATCATATATTCCCTTTGCGATGGCCTCACTCAAAGACACCGGTGCACGTACTTCTACCAGCATACCACGTTCAAAGGCTTCGTTAAAATCTACAGGTTCATTGTTATGGCTCATCAGTAAACCCTCATTAGTATCGATTATACCATCGATAACTGCTTGCTCAAATGTGACTATTTCTTCATCAATTGTTACCAAAGTAGATGAGATGTCAACATACCCCCTATTAATTGCACTAGATGTTTTCAAGCGTTCTTTATTTTTAGGATTAATGAATTTTCCTGTTGCTGGGTCATAAAAACCTTTAAATACTGCCTCTGGAAGAGGAATCTGGCTCTTATATGGAACTACCATACCACGGTCATACGCCTCATATAGGTTCATTTCTGTATTATTTAATGGATCCAAGGCTTGACCTTTAATAGGATCAATCAGTCTTAATTTTATGGCATCATTTAAGGTAATGATATCTCCCGATCTGGGATCTTTCACTGTTAATATGTTAGGATTTACAACACCTCCTTCAATAGCCTCCATAAGGGTAACATCTACATTATTGATTGTAAATTGACCAGTTTTTGGATCATAAACTTTCTGGGCCAAAGTTTCCTGCAAAGACCATGGCAAAACTGTACTCAAAATATATCCTTTAAGATAAGCTTGATCTAAGGGTAAAAGTGGGCTAGTAAGAACACCTTTCTCTGCATCTATTAGATTGGTTTGTATAGCATCTTTTACCTCTACAATACGACCTCTTTTATCATCTTTAATTCTGGTTGAGACTGGATCCACCAATTTATATTCAATAGCTTTTTGTAAAGTGATGTCTTCTCCAGTAATGGGATTAAGAATTAGTCCTGAATGAGGTGAATAATAGTTAAGAAGAATAGCTTGCAGTAGGTTGAAAACAACAGTTTTGGTTTGTATTAAGTTACTATCCAGGGCTTTATGTAAAGGTACAAGTTGACCTGTTTTGGTGTCTGTCAGTTTACCAGTTTCTGAATTTACAATTTTTTTCTTTAAAGCTTCATCTAGAGGAATAAAAACATTTGCTTTAGTGTCTTTAACTTCACTGATTTTGTCGTCAATTATCAATCGATTTATAGCTTCGGATATTGGTAACAGTTGTTTTGTCAAAGGATCTCTTATTTTACAAGTTTGAGGTTCAAAAATGCCTTTGTGTATAACTGCTTCTAAGGAAATTGGGCGGGGTATACTCAACACATACCCTTGAGTAAATGCTTCGGGAAATGAAATGGATTTTTGAGTGGCCGTATTGATTATCAGGCCTCTTTGTGGATCCACAATAGACTTATCAACAGCCTCAAAATAGGGAACTAACTGCATGTTCTTAGGATCCCTAATAGTAATAGATTTTGGATCAACCACATTAGAAGAAATTGCTTTAATTAATGAAAGTACTTTGCCTTCTGATGTAATCTCAACATTTTTAGGATCAAATTTATCTGTTTCTACAATTTCTTCTAAAGTCAGAGGCTGATATTTTTCTTTTGGTCTATCATCAACATGAATAATCCATTTCAATTTAACAGCTTCAAAGAAAGGTACTTTTTTCCCAGTCTTCGGATCAACCATGTATCCAGAATTACGATCGATCAAAGGTCTACTTAATGCTTCTTCTAATGTTATATATGTTGGAGGCTTCTTAGTTAAGTCTTTTACTAAAATAGATTCAGGGTCGAATACTCCTAAATCATAAATTAATTCCTCGAAAGTTATATGTGAATTTGTATGAGGGTTTAAAAACATATGGGCTCTTTGATCATAGTATCCCAGTTCTGACAACTTTTGTGCAGTTAAATGTTTTGAAATAATAATTACAGCCGTTTGATAATTTTCAAGGAGGATTACTCTATGATTTGTTATGATCTGTATTTCATCGAGAGGACTAATTTTATGCTGATCTAAACCATCTTGAATGGTAAAAGGTAATTCACTATTTTGGTGTACAATTCGGCATATTTTTGGTTCGATTTTCTTCTGAGCTATGGCATCTCCAATGGGAATAATTTCGACTTTTTGTGGTTCTTCTAATATTATTACAGAGCTTACTTCTGATAATTCTTTAGGTTTTTGTTCTACAGGTTTTAAAATTTCTGCTGAGATAATATTTCCCGAAGTATTATCTTTAGGTTTAGTAGGAATAGGTTTAAGATCATTTTTAGATAATACTAAAGCATCAGATGTTATTTCTGGACGTTTCTCTGCAGTTGGTTGTTTTTGCACATTATCATCTACTGAATCTGGTGATTTTTTCTTCTTGTCTGTATAATCCTTTACTGCTTTTACTGCTGCTGCTCCTGCTAATACTGGAGCTACCACAGGTAGAGCTAATCCACCTAAAACTGCAATGAGACCTTTTTTAGTTGCTTCCTTAAAATCAATGGATTTACCCGACTTTTCATCCAAAACTTTTCCTGTCTTGGAATCAATTAAACCTTTTTCTACCGCTTGTTCGACTGTAATAGGTTTTTGAGAGTTAACATCATAGACAATTGAATTGGGGTCTATGATTTCTTTTTCCAAAGCTTCTTTGAATGTAAGTTGCTTGTTTTGGTCTTTGGGATCTACAAATGTGCTTGTTTGCTCGTTATAAATTGTTTCAAAAGCTTCAGCAATATTTAGTTCACTTGTCTTATGTGTAGTTACAATTGTTTGCTGACTCTCTTGTATAGGTTCGGGAAGTGCTGAAAGTTTTCCTTCTTGAAGAGCTTGCTTAATTGGAACTTTTTCACCAGATTTTGGATCTGTAAATATTCCTGCATTCATATCAACCAGCCCTTTGTTCAAAGCATCAGAAAAACTCATTTTTATGTCTTTAACTATGGTTTTATTTTTAGTTTCATTTACATCAATAACAATGCCTTGTTTTCGAGCATCTTCTATTGGTATAATTTGGCCAGTTTCAATATTCTGAACTTCGTTTTTATTTAGAAGAGCGTAACCAGATAGAATTTCTACTGTTTTGGTGGTGACTGTATGAATTGTGTCAACGGTTTCAGTAAGTGTTGTAACAGGTGTCGAATGACTGAATGCTACTATATTTGTTGGATGTTTAATTACAAGCAATCCTTTCTCTACTGCTTCTGATATTGGATAAATTTCTCCAGATTTTGGATCCTTAAAGGTACTATTTTGAGTGTCAATTAAGTTTGACTCCAATGCGTCTTCGACCTTCACAGAGTCTGAACTTGTTCGAAAAGGTAGTGCCATAATGAAATTTTCTTCAATTGCTTCGGTTATTGGAATGCTTTTATTGGTTATAGGATGAACAATTAGTTTGTTTTCAGTGTCTATTAGGCCACGCTTCAGAGCCACAGGGAATGTCATGCCAGCTGGAGGGAGATCAATTGGTCCAGAGGGCACTGCTGTGTCAAATATGTTATCTTTAACAGCTTCTTGTATATCTACAGTACCATGCCTGGTCTCTACGGTAGCTTTTTCATCATCTACTACTCCAATTTCGAGTGCTTTGCTTAAAGTTACTTTATCACCAGTTTTTTTAACTAGAGTACTTAATGGATCTACAATATCACAGACTATAGCTTCAGTAATACTTAAATGAGCACCTGTTTCTGGGTGTATGATTTTTTGACTTTCTGGATCTATCAAACCCTGTTGGAATAGTTCGGGAATAGATAGACTACGATTTAAAGGCACTAAGAGTTCATTGGTACCCTCAGGATCTAATATACCTCGACTAATAGCTTCATTTATATTTAACAAATCTCCACGTTGTGGATCAACGATTTTTCCTCGGCCACCATCTACTTTATTGGCTTCTAAGGCTTCTTGTAATGTCAATTTTTCCCCATCAGCGGTTGTAAATGTTTCTTTTTTGTCTAAAATCTTAGCCGTGTCAGGATCAATAATACCTGTTTTCAATGCATCCTTTGGTTTAACAACTTTCTTTCGCAGTTTCTGTAGTACAACTTTCTTGGCTTCTCGTTCAGGGCTAAGAGATTGGGCTCTACCAATTTTAACCTTATATGTAGGTTCTATTGTAATGCGGGCTCTTGTTTTTTCTGCTTCGGATGGGGCATTTTCATCATCTAGGCTAATAGTTGCGGTGTTTAAAATTTTAATTTTGTTTCCTTCTTGACTCTGTGTCTTTAATTCATCTAACTGTTGGGGTGTTATTAAACCCTGTTCAAGAGCCTCATGTGCCGTGTATGTTTTGCCAGTTTTAGGATCGGTTACTTGGAGAACACTATGTGTCACAGTAGTTGTGGTTTCCATTGCATGTGCTGGCATATTAGGTACTTCAGTGTCCATTTCAGCTAACAATTTGTTGTAAGTTGGTTGATCTATAACACCTTGCTGAAGAGCAACTTCAGCGGGTATTTGTTGTCCTGTTGAAGGATCAACTACAAATAGTTGTCTGACGACTTTTACTACTGACTGAGTGGATGTTACTGGTGTTCCTACTACTGTTAAAATACCAAATTTGGCAGCATCTTGCAATGTAATTTTATGTCCTGACTTATTTGTGTATGAACTTTTTTCTATATCAATAATATTACGACGGATAGCCTCTTTAATGTCCATTTCCTGACCCGTATGAGGATCTTTAACTTTTACTGTTTCAGCATGAATTTTATTGTCAAGAACAGCTGTCAGAAGATTTGATGCTTCATTAAATTCTGGATATATTACTACATTTGAAACAGGGTCATATATTACACCTGGCTGTATTTGTATAGGTTCCACAACATGGCTTTTTTCTCCAATTTTAACTTCTGTGTACACTGGTGGATTTTTGTCAACCACTGATGATACTTCGACCTTGGGAGGTTGACCTTCGATTCTAGTAACTTGTAATAATCTCTGACCTGGTCTGTCCACTTCCATTTTTTCCTCCAACAAGACTAAATTCTGATTGATAGCTTCTTTCATGGTAATTTTTTTATTATTGGCTACATAATGACCAGTGGCATCCAATATTTTCTTTTCTAGGGCTCTAAGAACACTTATTTTTCGTTTACTTATGGGATCAACTACAACAGCTGACAAGGGATTTATAAGTTTTAGATTTATACATTCCTCAAAGCTTACTAGGCGATCGGTTCCTTGAATTATAAACAATCCGGTAACAGGATCATACAGTTTTTGACCTACTGCATCAGCCAGTGACCACCCTTCTGTTGGTAATTCATATACCTGCTTTTCCAGAGCTCTTTTTTCACTAGATATGAAATCAGTTGTAACAATTTTACTATCTGCTTTGAAGGTATCTCGTTGAAGTGAAGAATCTTTCTTACTTACTATTGTAACAACTGTAGACGATTTAGGAACTGCACCTTTATTGGAACCGATGACTTTCTCTGAACTCTCTGTATCAGGGGCTAACTTACCTTCACTAATTGCTTGAACTATAGGAATGATTTCATTAGTAACTGGATCTGTATAAGTCTGTTGTTCATTATTTATTAGACCTAACCTTAAAGCTTCTGTATATGTAATTATTTCTTGTTTAATATCTTTATTAGTTACTGTGACATAGCGCTGGACTAGAGTACGAGTTACTTTAGTAGATACATTCAAATTAAGCAAGCTGTTTAGCATGGCAGCACCTTCCGGAGTAATTAAATGTTGGGCAATAGCTTCATTAAGATAAATTATTTTATTTGTACTTAAATCTATCAAGTTCCCTGTTTTTGGATCAATATAACCATGAAAAACGGCTTCTAAAACATTAAGTTCTTTTTGATTTTCTACAATACCTATGGGACGCGATAACATTTCAAATACTTCAGGTTTTACCTCGCCAGATTGTACACCTTCAGTAAATGGAATTAATTTACCGCTTTTTTTACTAACTAATAAGCTACCATTATTCTTTTTGCTAATATAACCTTTAGCATTTGCAGCGTTAAAGCTAATATGATCTGATTTATCAGGCGGTTGGAAGCCATCAACATCGAAAATTGATTTTCTAACTACTGAAATTATATAACCGCGACTAACTGCCTCAGGTATAGATAAAATTTCTCCGGTAACTAGATTTCTGAAACGACTGTCAGAAAGAATAATACCTTCCTTAAGGGCTTCACTTAGTGTAATGTACTCACTCGTTCTCAAATCTAAAACGGATTTAACTAAATCCACATCTAATACGCCGCGATTTACTGCCTCTAAAAGGGTCAATGTAGTTTGATGAAGTGGAGAAGATATCTTACCGTTCTCATCTATCAGATTATCATCAACAATTTCTTTCAAGGTTTTTGGCTTAACTATCAACTGACGTCGTTTGGCTTCCAAAAATGATAATTTTTCGTGAGCTAAAATGTACTTCCCTAACTTTGGATTAATAATGCCCGTATCTATAGCTTGAATTACGGTAATTTTATTGTCAGTTTTTGGATCAACAATTTCTCGAATATCTCCATCTACTACATTACATTTAACGGCCGCATCTATCTGATATTTATTTCCAGAATTTCGATCCACAATCCAACCGGTTCTGTCATCAATTAAACTTTGATTGATAGCATCGGCTAACGGTACGGCACCCGTTTGTAACTTAACTTCCGTGTGCTGAAGTAGGTATCCTCTCTTATAGGCTTCCCTTATATCAATTTTTTCACCATTTTCTAGTGTATATGTGCCAGATGTTACATCGACTCTTCCATCATCAATGGCTTGATTAATTGTTGTTGAATGAGTTACCTTAATCCTTTTCTCTGAAGGGTCCATGAATCCGTGTTCAGCTTCGTATATTTCCCTTTGTATCGCTTCTAGTAATGTTAAATCATGACCATCTTCTCTGATACCACACGGACTTTGTAGTCTTTCTGCTATTTTAGATTCTATGAGACCCAACTTTTGAGCTTCATCGATGGTAATCTGTATGCCGTCTGGTGACGCAATTATTTTGCCTGTTCTCACATCTAAGATCCTTTCAGCAATAGCATCCCTAATTGTCATGCGTTCTCCAGTATAAGGATTTATAATCCCGGCTACATCAGTAATGTTTTCAGTGCCGATACCTTCATGGACTTTATGTACTCGCTTTAATGACTTTATCTCAGTAAATTGCATAGTACTTCCCCACGTTTGAGGCTCCTGAATAATTTGCGTTAAAGTGGTGTGTTTGTCAGGAGGACGGCCATTTGTAATATTGTCTGCTTCATCTCTGTGCCATTTGGTTTGTGTTTGTTGATCGTCAGGAATTTTAATTGTAGTGCCATTTTCACTCCTTGTAGTTTTAGTAGTTTGAATATATCTGATTTGAAATGTAAATTATTAAATAAAGGAATATTTATTACAACAGAATTGATGATTAAAAAAAACTTACTGTTTACTATAGTGAGTGGTTGTTGTATACGTTGAGGTATGTTCACTAGCACTGCTCATGTGGAATTCCGTTCTAAATGTCCTGAATGGTTGGGGTTGCATTTGTTCAACCAATCTCTGTAAATAAAATGGTTGGATTTTAAATAGTTCTTATGAAAATAAATACATAATAAATAACTTATGTCTTAATTATATGAATAACGTTAAGTTATATAACAATTTTTATTTAAGCAAATTATTTTGTTTACATAGCAGTTAGAAATGAATATTTGAATATTTTACGTCAACATTTTGACCAATAGAACAAAATAATTATAGAGATTGTTTCTTAGTATATTAATTTGTATTTTTTTTCAATAATAATTCACTGTGGACCTAAACAAAATCAACCAATGTGAGTTTTTAAAAATTAAAAAATTTATTGGGAAAAATTTATTGCTCTTGATAAGTTGAAATAAAATATGTGGTTAGGTGAATCAAATTTAGACACTTATTTCTGGAACATTGTACATGCCACAATTTTTTTTTAATACAGAAGTTTCTGGAGGGCAATTCGTTATTTTTGACAGGTAAAAATAGCTAAAAGTATCACGACATGAAATAATTGGTTTAAATAGTGATAATTCTAGTTCACTTACAAGTATGTTTTATCAGTGACTACAATAAAATATTATTTATATAGTTTTATGAGCCATATGATCAAAACTAAATCTTTTAATTAATTTTCAAAACTATGCACCTCAAAAATAATCTTTATGAATAAATCGTAACAGAATCCATCATTAAAGTTTAGCTAAGTATTTGAGTTACACCCTGTATGTCAAATAATACTTTCTTTTTGTTAACTGTTAATGTTCAAACCGAATATATCTACAATATTTAATACATGTACAGCAGTAAATCTAGTAATAATAATAATAACAACAACAATAAACAAATACAAATAGAACAGATGTAAAAATAGATTGTGCTTAAAAAATAGACTTAAATTTGTTGTCTGATTGCATAAGAGAGTTGCCCGAACCTAGGACAACGCCACAAGTATTGATTCTCTGAATTCCGTTGCGACCAAATAGCAACGGAAATAGACCACTTTCGTTTTATTACATGTAAATATACACTCACAGATCAATGAGTTACTCGAAATTTTGCACAAAGGCAAGATTTTACCATGTAATTGTTGTTAACCTTTAAAATACCTAATCAGGACGCCTACGAATTTTCAAAGTAAATTATACACGACTTTTGTTGTCTCCTGTAAAGTATTAAAAAATTTAATAATGACAAATAATACCAATTAATTATTTTTATCGGTTTAATCTACTACAGATGATAAACTTTTATAACCTTGGCCAGAGACTACTGGCGCTTAAAATTGAACCACTTAATTTATTATACCTACTCGTATTTGGAAAATCATATTTAACAGCTAACAAACTTTTTGAAAAAGATCTTGGTGTATAGGGGAATATTATTCATTCTATATACAGGGTGATTCAGTCATGATGTCATTAATTTTAAGAGCAGATAGAGAAAAATGAGTATAATACGATGGCGTGATTAAAAAAAAAATTAAATGCATATTTAAGCAGAAAAAAATATTTTCAAATCAATATTTAACCCCCTTTTCAGGCTGTTACTGACCGGCCGGGTGACCAGTTATTCACAATTTGCGCACGGCTACGATATGAACAACGCGCCCTAGATGCAACGTTGCCACGTTTATATATTTTCGCTCTTATAAAGACAGTAAATAAACGGTTTGCTCACGTCAGCCAATAATAATTTAAAATGCTATAAATTATTTTTTATAATTATGCAATCAACACATTAAATTGTTATTGTTGCCTAGCAAGAACCTCGAGGAGGTCCAAGCATGCCTTGCCAAAAATGAGTTTTATTAACATCGTGTTAATTTTTTAATGTTCAAATACATTACCGTTACCGTCTATGCGCAAGTGTACCCGTTGGATAGATGAGCGGCGGATGCGATGGAATAAACCAGGGTTGTTATGCATTGCTTCAGCGGCATCTTCGATACGATTCCGCAACTGCTCTACATTCTCTTCCTCGGTATGATACACGACAGATTTCATATAACCCCATATACAAAAGGCCATAGGATTATGGACCCTCATCTCCCTATCCACCGATTAGGACATTGATCGTCTAAAAATCCACGGACATCGCGAGCAAAAATGGGCCGGAGCTCCGTCGTGCATATACCACATATCCCGTCGCATCTGAAGGGGAAGATTTTCAAACAATTCTACTAAAAATTGAAAGTAACGCGGCCCATTCAGATGTTCAGGTAGAAAATGCGGCCAAATTAAACGATCGCCATCGAATCTCCTCTGAAAGCTAAACCGACGAGTAGTGTGCGGGTTCTCATCTGACCAAATGTGACTATTATGGCTGCAAAGAAATTAGCTCTGTTTCACTTTAAATAAAATTTAATATTGAAGTTACAAAACTCCAAGAGTTCAAGTAATTTAAATTTCATTTCATAACCATTTCAATTTCATTACAGAAATAATGACATAAAAAACAACACTCACTAGATTAGATAAATTATAAAGAGAGGGTGAAATGTATGTAGTATTTAAATATTGACTGTAAGTAATAGAAGATAAAAAAAAAACAATCGGACGGAGACAAATAAACAACTCGGTACGTGTTTCCGACCTAGGCTAACCTGGAGCTAGGTCAATAACCTTCTTTCTATCTGATCCACTTTTGATTTGCAGTGGCCAACCAGAGTGCCACGGTTGCAAACAACTTATTCTTAACTATTTTGACCTCCTGAATCCAAAAAACTTGGTCGCAAAGCCTGAAAGTGGTCAGTTTAATTGTTATCAACAAATTAAATGTTTAAATGGCTGTAAAAAGTTTATTTTTATAGCTAGTAAACGGAATCCTATTTGGCTCCTAGACTAATACGAACTGTAGTAGGATCGTATTCCATGCAAAGTAGAGCAAAAAGTTGTCGGTCTTTAATCAAAGGAAAATTGAATGTAATGACTAGGGATGATTGTTTTCGAAAGTACGGTTATTACAATTTATCATTTTTAATATTATTAACGTTTTAACGTTTTATTATTTATTATGTTAAATAATACAGTTTTAGTATTTCAATTTATTATTCAATATGCAGTTGCGTATAACCAAAGTTTACATAATAAAAGTAAACTTTAGTGTAAATATAAACTTTGGTGTAACCTAGGTAGGTACTTAATTGTTTTTGAGAAAGTAATAGTTTTTTTACCTGTTTAAAATGCCAGCACGAGTAAAACAGCGTTCATCCGTCCAGCGCACTTTGTTTTAAAAATAAAAATAAAGTTCAAGACGATTGGGGAAATCAGCTGATTCTAAAGCTTGAACTTTTTGAAAATGGTACGGGTCGAGTGAATTCTCGCGCAATATCCGCCAAACTTTGGTTTGTGATATCTCCAGTCACCTTGAAATTGTTCTTGTGGAAATAGTAAGCTGCTCCTCGACTAAATTTAAAACAGCTTCTATCGCATTTAAATCATTTTGTCGATGTCCTGCACGTTCGCTGCGCGGTATGGTATGATGCAGTTGGAAAAATGCGAGTGGTAGATTTGAATAAACGCTTTAAATTGTTAATGGTTTTGTAACCGTGTGTAGTGTATTTTGTATATTCGGGTATTTAGTAGTGTGCCGACTTTTTTTATTTGATAAAACACGGAGTGCCTACAAACAGGTAACTACCTCTGCTGTATTTATTTTCTTTTAACCAAAGTTGACTTCGAGAAGTCAGGCTTGTTAAAACATTCTGCACTAAGTTAATACAATTGTTAAAATTATTTATAATAAAATGCAGCATGCTCCTTTATTTACTTGAATACGTTTAACGCGGAACGCGGACCCACAGTAAATGTGAACCACACATTATGATGTAAACTTGGCAACGCTGTTCGCTTCGAGCTGACAACTGTTCGTGACATTACGTGACAAAATTTTCTGAGCATCCGGGCATCTGCTAGGGCCGCCCATGTAGCAGAAGTTATGGGTTGATTTCCTTCATTTTTAAAAGTCGAGTAAACAAATTTTTTTTCCGATTTTCTGTCTTTATTAAGCCTTCCGAATACGTGGTTAAAATTAATGACATTATGACTGAATCACCCTGTATATTATCAGAATTATTTTAATTAGGGATACTGACAGTGATAGATGGCATTATGTATTTAGCAAAACATATTATTTCTTTGAAACATTATTATGCAATATTTTAAAATTTGTTTTCCGATTATAAAAGTTCTTTCCTGTTTATACTATTTCGCCAATTACGTGTTTTTTATTCAAAATATTGGCAGTTCGTCCAATCTCGAATATTTTTGTGATACGTCAATGGACGAAAATAATGATGAAGTTAGTTAGTTGTTACGGTTCTATTTATAAAAATCGTTTATTAACACTAAATACACAATTGGTTTCAAACTGGTTTCTATCGCGGTCAAGTGTTCAGTTTGTTCAATTGAAGCATGTTTTAAATATCCAATTTGTACGTTGGCACCTCCGAATTGCGAAATACTTTGGCTTTCCCATGACATATTTGGACATGGTACATCATTAAGTAAAAATACTTAATGAAGTTAGCCAATTATTGCACCACTATTTATAAAAAGTGTGCAGGATGCCAAATTAACGCATTACTAGTAAGAAATCAGCAGCTTTGGACTATATTGTAAACTCTCCTCAAATTATAATTCTGAAAAATCCTTTATAAGGACTAGTTTCTAGTCTATAAAATGTTTTAATAATTCGAAATTACCACCCACTACATATACTTATTCATGAGTGAAGTAAGGGCAAAATAATAGAATGCTTTCTCTTTTTTAGAAGCAATAAAAATAAAATTTTTTCAAAAATATAATTAAAAATCGACTTTTATTATAGGAACATATTATAACTGTTTTTAATGAATATTTAGTTGTATAGTGAATCTATCTCAGTCGTAGTCAAAAACTCAAAATAGTTTAAAAATTTTTTTTTTAAATGTCATTACTTTACGTTACAGTGGCGTTTGTTTATTATACTTGTCTTAATAAGAATCTTAAATTAAAACGCCTTTGTAAAATTGTCCTATTTAATTC